GATAATATATTTCGAATAATAAATTATAAGAACACATGCCGTATTTACAGGCAGTATCTGAATGTTATTGTTGTCGGTGAGGCTGAGAAATTTAGAAAGAATACATCGATACACCATACATATTCTGTAGGATACAATTATTCACATGTTGTTGGTTAAAAACTGGAAAAAGTAGTCTTCATGCATACGACCGTATGCAGAGGCCTCTGAATAAGGAGTTTCGGCGCGAAGAAGTGAATTAGTGGGAGTCATAGTGTGTAGAAAGTAAGACAATATGATGTATGGACGTTTGCGAGGAATTCTGAGAACAGACTTTTCGGCAGTACAACTAAGTGGATTTAGACGTCGTTTTCAGTCAGATGAGTATCCTGTTTACTATGTGGGCCAACCTAATACGATGGCACCGGCTATACAACAGGGGGGAAACTGCCTGATACACAGGGTTCTTTCTGTTCCAAACTAAGAGCTATTTGATTGATTGAATAGACCATAGAGAGAAACCCCACCTATATTTATTCTTAAGTTACTATCAATTTCACTACCTTGGAGACACTAGGGTCCTACAGAGCCATCTCTGAGTACCTCTGTTGAAAGGCATCTATCTACAAACAGACTGTTGATATCATCTGAATCCAAAATCAAGTTGATAAGGTGCTTAAACTGCGACACAGAGGTGCTGCTGCGTACAATTACGGAGAGCCTATTCCAGATCAAGCTGTAATATGTAGTAAAGAATTTACATCTGACCTGTTGATTGCATCTTTCTATTGCCAACGTCAGTGTATGATTTCTAAGGTCATATAAGGGTACATATCTCGAAGCGGGTGGAGAGGAACAGTATGACAGACCATGCAAAGTTTTGTACATGAGAACGAAGTTGTTTCTTAGACGCCGTTTCCATAGCGGTTCAAATGGACAGTATAGTGTACCTATCTATGTAGTCTACATTGCCAGCGCAACTCAGCATTGTCGTCTGGTGAAACTCCTTTGAACGTATTCAAGTCGTGGTCTGTCACTTTTGTTCATGCTAGAAAAAAGGATGAGCCATATTCCTATATCGGACTAACACAAAACTTAAAAAGAGCAAGTCTGGCCTCTTTTGTATGGAAGCTCTTCAGAAGGAAACCTGATAATCTTTTTTAGCTTTAGAGACGATACCTGTGACATGCTCATTGAAGTTAAGGTTTCCAGAATATTGGACGCCCAGGTCGCATACCTACCTTATTGAGTATTTGAATTTCATGATCTGCTGCTAGGATAATACTTTCCGAGGTATGGAATTCCACATTTCTCACGGTTGAATCCAAGTTGCCACTTCTGACTCTATTCACGCAGATCATTGGGACAAAATTTATTTACTTTTACAACACTCAACTGCATGCGTAAAGATATTTTGGATATTCTACATAATAAATACATTTTTTTGCTGACATGATGTCCTAATAGGACTGCTGTTATTTCTCCTTGCACACGATTGACGCACAGTGATAACTTCTGAGCAATTAGTTTTGAGGAAGTAAATTGATTTTTCTGAAAATGTCAAACACTTTTAACAGCTCTGAACTTAGCGTACCTGAAATTTTTGGGACATTATTGACGAGCAAGGCATTCGCCCACTACCTTAAAAAGTACAGGCGATCCAAGACTTTCCAGTCCCAATGTCATTCAAGGCTCTGCATGCGCTTCTGGGGATGGTGAGCTATTGTAGCGTCACACACTCCCCCAAAATCAATAGCCTACAGTTCGATGAGATCCAACATTAATGCTGACCTTGATGGCCTAACTGGACTCGCTGAGCTGAAGGCACTCGGTCAAGCATCCTGGCCATTTGGCACGCAGTCGTGTTACGTTGCACTGCTCGTATTCGACTCTCTAACTAGTCAGTCGGAACGCATCAGTATCTTGGCACAACCACCCAAATATACTATTCCACCCGACAACGCTATCGTGTTCTTCCTTGGCCCCGTGTTCGTGAGTACATAGCAAGTCCGAATAATTAGTGATTGGCCTCTGCGTCTGTCAAGTTCGCACCAGGACAATTCCCAAATCGGTGAGCCCGACGTGATAAGAACTCCCGAATTGGTGAGCCTATTCCATTTTATATTTGTTTATTGTTTTCATCTCAATAACATTTATACATCCATTTACTACACTTTCTCATGTCCGACCACACTCCCAAGCTTATTCGTATTAAGCCGACTACGAACACTATCCAACTGGTGCCATATTGGCCAGATAATGCGTAAACATGGTTTCTGTATGCCGAGGCAGATTTTCGAGAACAGGGCGTCTCAGATACTCATTCTCGATTTCTTGCCGTTATACGTTCACTACCACGGGAATTAAACAGGCATGTTACAGCACACATGTTTAGTCCCGAAGTAAGTGATCCTTATGCACTTCTCAAAGCCGCACTGTTGAAGAAAGCGATCTCATGGATCGTCAGCGCCTAGACGAATCACTTCGTAACATCCAGCCAGGCAGCCACTGAAGTCCTTGCACACATGCGAGAAGTAATCAGCGCACGAACATTCGACGATGGCCTTTTCCGAGAACTATTTCTCTCGAAACTGCCACAACTGGTGCAAACCGTGTTAGTGACTATTCGGTCAGTCCCACTTGATGACCTGGCAGCCTCAGCAGATAAAATACTGGAGATCTCTAGCAGACCCGTCTCCAACGCATATTCTGTCTGCGATAAACCAGAGAGCCAGGATTCAGAGGTGACCAAGCTGTGCAACTCTGTTAAACAGTTGCTATGGTCTCGAAGTCCTAGTTTACGTAGCACTTCACAGAAACGCATCTCAGCCCATCGCGGCAACTCGCGTGGTTGTCCGAAAACCAAACCTAGCAGGGTGAGAAACCCGAAATGGTGCTGGTTTCATGACACTTATGAAGACGAAGCCAGAAAATGTCGGAAACCATGCAGGTTTTAACAAAGACACAAACTCGGGAAACGGCCACGCCGGCACGTGATCGGGCAACCGCAGCCGGCGGAAACAGCCGATTGCTCTACGTCACGGATATTCAAACGAAAATTCGTGATGTTTGGGAGACGGTATGCCCACCTCAACCTAGGTTTGCGTAAACCTACTCACTGGATTTTCCTCCTAGCTGACATTTCTATGCCCATCACTGGCATAGATTTGCCGAACCATTACGATTTATTCGTAGATGCTCGTCTTCGACGTCTGATAGATAATAACGCGAAATTGTTTGTTGGCGGCACCACCTACGTAGGCCCGAGTTTAGCCATTGTTAGAACTAAACAATCAGGTGACGCGCCCTATCAGGCAGTGTTGGAGAGACATCCAGAGTTGCAACAAACAACGCATACTCTTCCGTGCATAACCAGTAATGTTATGCATCGCGTCACAACCACAGGTCCACCTGTGACATCCAAAGCTCGGCGTCTAGCCCCTGATAAGCTAAAATCGGCGGGGAGTGAATTCAACCACATGCTCAAACTGGGCATAATCACACCTTCAGATAGTCCTTGGGGATCACCATTGCACATGGTTCCCAAAAAGGATAGCAAAGACTGGTGTTCAACCGGTGATTACTGAGGACTTAACACCAAAACAAAACCGGACTGCTACCCGATACCTCATGTTTATGACCTGACTGCGACATTATGCGGAATGAACATTTTCTCCAAAATCGATTTGGTCAAAGCGTACAAACAGATACTTATGGCAGCAGAAGATACCGCGAAAACAGCCATTATAACTCCTTTTCGCCTGTTTGAATTCCCGCGCATGCCATGTTTTCTTCGAAATGCAGCACAAACATTCCAACGCTTTTTGGATGATGTCTTCCGTGGTTTAAATGTCGTCCAAGTCTACATCGATGACTGTCTCATTGCGAGTCCGGACAGGGAAACTCACCTCAAACATTTGGACCTCGTATTCGAAAGACTAAAAAATATGGCATCACAGTAAACTTACAGTAGTGTGAAACAGGAGTTGAATCATTCAGCTTCCTTGGACATACCATTGACAACAGTGGTATACGCCCATTGAGTGATAGAGTGGCGGCTTTCACGAACTATCCGGAGCCGACCACTGTGAAGCGGCTCCTCACTTTTATGGCCTAGTAAGTAAGTACCGAAGGTTTATCCTCAACTATGCCTTTGTTAGGAGACCACTCACAGATCTACTTCGAGGGACTACAAAGTTCATGACTCTGGACAACGTGGCTACACTTGCTTTCTCTAAAGTCAAGGAAGCCATTTCAGACGCAATCATGCTAATGCATCACGACCACAGTGCTCCTTTGAGTATTGCTGTTGATGCATGTGACTCAGCAATCGGAGCAGTTCTGCAACAGTTGACTGACAACCGGTGGCAACCTCTAGCCTTTTTCTCAAGGTAGCTGCAAGAGGCGGAAATAAGATACAGTGAGTTTGGTAGGGGACTCCTAGCCGTGTACTGTTCTGCACGCCATTTTCGACATTCGGTGGGAGGTCGTGACTTCATTATTTTCAGAGACCACAAACCGTTGACCTCCTCTCCTAGCTCGGTGTCTGACAAGCACTCGCCTAGTGAGTCAGGACAACTGGATTACATTCCCCGGTTCACGTCTGAAACAGTAATGGTTTCGTTTAGATTGGTATGCGCAGGAAAAGGATGTAAGTTGCACTCAATGCATGTACGACAACTGATTCATTAGTGCTTCAGGTCCAGACCGATATCACTACTGTGTTTTCTAGAAAGTACCGTATTGAAGGCGATGGAAGAATTCTAATTAAACATAACTTTAATCACATTTCTCAACATAACGACCTTTAGTTTGGTATTAAATATGTTTGAAATTATATTGCCAAACTTTATCCATTGAAGAAGCATAGTTGTCATTAGTTCGGTCATAAAGAAGGTTAATGTTCTAGTACTAGAATCGCTTCAAAATCAGTATATTCAGCATCTGTTGGAAACTAGTTGCCACTTATATTTCACCTAACATGTGTTTTATGAACCAAATGAAAATGAGAAATCAATGTTTGCAAGGAATGCAAAGATTCTACATTCTTTTTAGGACCGTTGACAAAAACACAAAAGTGGCTTGTAGTAATTCAAAGTTTGTATAAAAAGAGACGTTTATTTTACAGATCACAGGGGCAATTGTTAATGAAAATAATATGAGGTCATACATACATCAAAGAATTAGGATAAACATGAAATCGTGTTTCATTCAGTGGTATCAAAGCACGACTGCTACAATACTGAAAACTTCATGAGACGCACTGCTTGATCAGTGCACATTCCAAGATTTCAGGAGCATCAGGACGGTTGAATGGATTGAAATCCAAAAGTTTAAGAACAAATTCAGTCTGAAAAAGTGGAACAGATCGAAATTCATGTTTTACGATTCTCAACCTGATTTTGAAAATATGCAGATTATCTATCTGCCTATTACAAAGGATGTAATCTTCCTTCAATCATTGTTCGTGTTTACCAATCACTATAATACATTCCTAAACATTTTATAAGAATGATGATGTATATGAAATAATTTACATGATTAAAAAGAAATCGAAGACAGTTGCTTCCAAAAATGAAACTGTGAATCCATTGCGCACTCCTTTCGATCCACAACTTATGGTCATCGAAGATGGTGCAGGTTGCTGATAAACATGATTATCAATAAACCTCAGTATAGTTAATGAGATCGTCCCTCAAGCTGTGTTTTTGATTGTAATTGTTTAGATAAGAGATAAATGCGATGTTATCTGTGATCACTGAGTAAGAATAGCCCAAGGTATAAAACTAGGAATTTTTAGCGAACGATCTTGGTTATGATATAATATATTCGGATGATAATATGCTCATGAAAACCAGCTATTGATGTTTTTCACTCACATAACAAAAAAGGAGAGAATAAATGATCAGGCAATTATTAAATATTACTTAAAAAAGCGGGATGCATTCAGTCAACATATCCACCCTTTTGTAGTAGACAAGGTACCATACCTATTGAGTAAAGGGCTTACCACCAACTGCGGTAGGTGGGGCGCAGATCCAAACTATGACGCATCGGTTGAAAGTCAACTGCTTAGACCAATGAACCACAGTTACACAAACGTTACTATCCCCAATTCCTACATTTATAGGAATAGGTAAAAAGATATGCGATCAAAAAAATATATCGATATACAAACTTAACAACAAGTACTTATTGTTTAAGGTTTCACGGAAGTAAAAATTCTCACGTTTTGATTACCAGTTAACTCACTACACTCTGTATGTTAGTATAACCATTAAACAAGCAAATAAATGAGGAAAGTGATCATGCTTCGGCATATAAAGGATAAATATAAACAGAGTAAATTTAACCAGTGAGGTTGAAAATGCTTATCCGATTTGGCTGTTTTACATTTCTTTACGTGCTGTCACTTTAGTGAGTACTTGCTTATGGCTAATAGAATATTCCATGAGGCTTGTTTATGATTTGATTTGTAATGAGGTATTAGGTAAACTGATCGACAGTTATTAGGTAATTCATTCTTACGCAACTTTCCCCTTACCCTCTAGTACCTCACTACATCAATGACTATTAATGAATCTAAGGTTACTGACTATATTTAAATTACTTCAAAGTTTGGACCAATTAAAGTGCTTATGTCGTTTGATGGGAAGCATGGTAGTGAATTTAGTACAACTGATTACCATAATAATACATTCTGTACAACCTTCACAGCGTAAGGATTACTTTAAATGCACAGGTAGTTGATAAATGTTAAACTGTAACACTCAAAGCTGCAATCCCATATGATGAGCACTGTCTACTTTGTAGGATTGACTAAAATAAATGAAAACAAGTGTCTAATCATTGGTCGTTTTGCTATTTGATGCTTAACTGTTCCTAAACAGCTTATTTATTATTGCTAGTTGGTGCTTCTTAGCACTCGTCGTCAAGGCATATCGGCAACCTCAAATGACGTGATGTCCCCGCCACTGAGATGCAAATCCACGTAACCCACTGTTGCAGTCAGCGACGTTACCACTAAGCTATTCCGGTGGCGACTGACCTCCTGTAGGACTGGATAAGATACATTGATTGGTAACTGGAGGGTCTCCAATTTCAAGTTGTCTAGTCCTGAGTGATGACCGACTTCTATCGATCATCTGCAACTTAACCACCTGGCTGACAAGGGCCAGTAGGCAGGAAACCTAGGTCCAATGATCCCTGTCGATTGCCTCCAACCAAGCAATATTTATTCAAGCGCACTGCTATGTTTAGCCTCACAGTTTGGTGACCATATTGCAAAAGTGATCCATAGAACTCGGTCAGCAGTCAGGAGTAGACAACATGAAGTTGGTTGCCTTACAGTGACCAATTAATGTGTTTATTTTAGCTTTGATAGTTGATGTAGCGCAATGAAAGATGTTGATAATTTCAGAGAAAAATGTCAACAGTAGAAGTTTGAAAACATTTATCATAGAAACAGAGAATGACAAAAATTCACTGTTTACAGTATATTTTCATGCAGTCGGTTATTTTCAAAAAGACATAGAAGACAAAACTTAGTCATTTGAAACAAATCAAATTTATTTGAAAAGGGATAAGATTTAGTCAGCAACTGAATAACCAGAAACCTGCATTCAATGAGTTGCACAACCGCTAGTAAAAAAACAAAAGATGTGATATACAGCTCAGTATATGAAACTTCAGGTGATGATGAGCTTGAAGAATTCGGGTTATATCCATTGTATGAACATGACAAACAATATCTACCTACCTCGACTGAAGTGGGTGCAATGTGCATCAACCCGTCGCCTAATGGATAAAGGAACCAGACAAGTGAAACAACTACGGGTATAGACACACTGACTAGTAGGTTGACACCACATCTAAAGGAGTGATCAAGCAACATAAAGCATTTCATATTTAATTCTAAAAATAATAGCATAAAATCCATTGGATCTTTCACTTGAAGGCAAAATAATACACAGACTTACTTCAACTGGATTACAAGTGATGAAATCCTTGGGAAGCTTTTGTTGTTTCGCGCGTGTCAAAGTGTATATTCTTTCCATAGATGTACTGAATGTAATTAACAATTCCAAAAATATTAGTCCCAGTGAAAAAATGTCCACTTTATGATTGTAATTGTCACCACGTTCCTATCAAATTAAAAATAAAGTATAAAAAATGTCTGAAAAAGTGAGTTAAAGTTGACAAAAGAAAGAGTAAGTACTGAAAAAAGGCTAAAACTTGCACGATTCAAAAAATCACCAGTTAAATGTATCATATTTGAGGTGAATTGATTATACATGCAAAGAAGACTCAACAATGAAACTATTTAGAGCTTCAACCATCGACATCACAACAACCTTCTGCAATAGATTGTGGAGATTACTAATAAGTAAAAAGTCGATCCCGTTAAAAGTATTCAAAGAAACGAAGGAAGATCTAACAAGTAAGAGCAGTTTTACAGGTTGCATCTCTGTGCTGCAATTTGGTGACCACATACAATGCTTCTGAGGCATCACTGTCTATTCTATGTACGTCTACCGTACTTTTAATAATAATCATCTGTTTGGCCATTACTAGAATAACATTTACTCAGCGCGAAACGCTTCAGTATGTGCAATCTTTGCCTCACCAGTTAAACCAGAACTCATAGTGTTGAGGATGTTTGAAAATTTTCTGACCTATATTCTCACTATATATGAAGCGCTTCTTGCGTCCAGATGGCATACTGTGCAAGGAATTTTGAAGACCATTAGTGCATGTTTTGAAGTAATGCAGAAATGTCAACTTTGATGGTGAGAATACTTCCAACGCACGGTATGTCATACGCAATATTAGTGACCACAGCTTCTTGCTATTACAACAGAAAGAATCAGAGAGCCGACGAGTTGATAGACAAGGACTTCACAGATGCCTTCTCAGTTGTCCTAGACATTATTATATGTAGTTAACAATCAAAACCTATGAATATCCGACTTCGTTTTCGTTATATCTTCCCTCTTTCGTAATTTAAGTAAAACAAATGTATATGATTTATGCGGCACATTTCTTGATGATCACATCATAATAAATTTGTGTTAAAATGGATAGATTGAAAACTATATTTTACTTCAAAAACTCGACATATATAAATTTGCGAACATAAAAACAAAATAACCAAGTGGAACATAAAGGGTAAGTCGTAAACAGAAATGTTCCGCGTAATTAAATCCTTTGATAAATTTCGATAATGTAAGAGGGACAACATTTGCAGAATAAAATATCATTTTACCTCACGAATACCTCTCATCTATATACAATCTAAAACTATAATGATTCTCAACATATAAGATAATTTAAAATTTGGAAATAAATAATCTTAAGATGTACAGCAAAATCACTAATAATCGAAATGACATGTAAGAGAACTATTGTACTGAAGTAAAAAATATAAGAAAGGAAAAACTAATGCTAGATAACAACAGGTCAGTAAACTGAAGAATCATGCAGTTAAAAAGAAAGAAGATCAAATTATGGTCACTAAGGGTGTAAGAGAGGTTGAAAGCACTTTATAGCAATCGGGTCCGTGAAGCGTAGTAACCTAGACATTTTTTGCACTTTTATTATTTAACGTATCTCCCTGATGTCCTTTGTCTTTGAGGTGTCTATCAATTGCACTGGTTACAATCTTATCTCCTTCCTTGGAGGTATTCTTAGCGAAACGATCCCCTCTTTTCATTCCTTCGAATGTACTCGCTAGAGCAAGTGCATATGAATTCATATATACACTTGGAGGTAACATAGACAGAGCATTTATCCAAATTAAAATGGTTCACTGAGAATATGGTATCGTATACTGATACAAGTTTAGATACGAGAAAGCTTCTTCTAAGTGCTCCCTTAACTCTTGTTTGTATTCTCTGGATACTGCATCTCCATTGAATGTAAGGTGAATATAAAAAACCTTCTTTTCAACAGTTAGGTGCTTGTTTCTTTCGATTTGTTCTTATACATATTTCCTAATAAATTCTCTCGGAGACACTTCTCAATAGTGTTATGTTTTTCCTCCCATGTGTCCAGAGAACGTCATTTTCTAGCTCAGGTGTAAGGCGTTTTGAATAATCGGTGCTTATAGCTGGCAGGCTAGAAACTGCTATAGTTAAAATAAGGTCCAGTACATATGTTTTTTAATGAATGGTCTTTTCAATCGTACCATCAGTTTTACCTTTTACGGTGAGATCCAAAAAACTGAACTCGTTATCATGTTCATATTCTATGGTAATCTGAATCTTGGAATGAGCTCTCTTCAACCTGTCAAACAACTGAGTTGAACATTTCATATCGATACAAACCAAAAAATTGTCATCAACGTATTGACGTTAATAGGTTGTTCCTCCGATAACTGAACTCAAGTGCGTCTGTTCGAGATTAACTATCAGGATATCTGCTAAAACAGATCCTAGAGGTGAACCCGTGGTCACTGCATCAATCTATTGATAAAGTTGGTTATTGAATTGGAAACGGACACCTTTTGAGCAACAGAGAAGTAGCTGTTTCATCTCAATTCCGGGTATGCTGATGACTCCTTGATAAGTATAATGATATAATGATATAATTCTTCAGTTTATTCACCTATTGTTATCTAGCACTAATTCTTCCTTTCTTACATTGCTCTTACCTCTCTACAATTAAATCTCTTACATGATATACGAATTATCAGTGATTTTGTCATACAACTTAAGATCATTACGCTCGTTACTGAAGATCAGATGGCCAGAAAGCATAAGTAACAAGGAACTCTGGCAACGAACCAACCAAGAACCTATCACTCAACATATATGCAGAAGGAAGTGGAGATGGATTGGGCATACAGTGAGAAGGCCGACTGGGGACATCACGCGCCATGTCAAACCATCGAGTGGAACCCAGATGGGAAGTGACGAGTTGGGCGTCCGAGGGTGACATGGAGGAGATCGTGCGAGGAAGAAATGAGAGCTTCTGGGCTGTCGTGGAGCCAAGTTCAAAAGTTTGCAGAGAACAGAGTGCACTGGAGACGTGCTACTGAAGCCCTATGTTCCATTAGGAACCCAAGGGATAAATAATAAACTCAAGATTACTGATTTTCTAATCTTATAGTATGTACTAATAACTATTGTACTTTTAGACTATATGTAATAGATGAGGAGTATTCGTGAAATAAAATATCATTTTCTTCTGGGAATCTCATCCTGTTTGCTTTGTCAAAAAATGTTTCTCACTATAAAGTTATTAACTGGTTGCTATTATACTGGGTGGTGATTGAAGGCGAAATGAAAATCTGGACCGCGATCGGATTCGAATCCACGACCTCCAGGTTTCCGGGTCAATGCTCTATCTATCGACTGAGCTACGAGGTCCGGTTGCTTACCAGATTTTTATTTCAATTCAATCACCAATATAAATACTAGTCTGCCAGTCTCATATAGCCAAAATGATATGTATTAACCAAGACAGAATAGCATTTTATTTGTGCATTTATTTTAGTAGCAACTGTGACGATAACTCATTGAGAGTTGTCTTTTCTCACTACTCTCATATTATTTTCCATGAATTTGTTGGATTACACTAATAATGCTCTAGAACGTTCAAGTAAATTAAGTGTAAAACTGTGGATTAAAACGCTACTAATTATTATCCAACCTTATATTACTCATCTGAAAGCGATTTTGCTGCTTCACCTTAACGCTTAATTTCAGGTATGTATCTATTTATTGAAAATATTTGACCTTAAATGCTTGTGTGTAAGTGACGAAACTGTAACGAAAGAAGTTGGATCCAATATATTCTCGAAAACTGTTAATGCTTTTTGCATTTAAACTAGTGGAGACCACCATGTTACATATATATTCACGAACATATTAGCTGACAGTATTTTCTATAATTTACAGTGACTACAATAACTCACCTGTTCAGGACTCATGTAAAGATCTGTGCCCACATGGTCTGTATGTCGACGTGCAAAGACAGAACGTTTCTGTTGGACGCTGCTGATGTCTTTTAAAGGATGTATCTGACGATCGGCGAAATTGTTATGTTCTGCATTATGAATCGAACGATTTTCCGTTGTCATTTCAGAATATAACGACTGATTATTCTGGTTACTGTAACTGATAAAAGATGCATCTTTCTGATTTAATTTCTCATCTAACATAGAAGTGACCAAGCCGAAATCAGCCAGTTTAAGACGATTGGTTAGATCAAAGAGAATATTAGACGGTTTCAGATCACGATGCATTAAAGAATGATTATGTAAATAGGACACAGCATCAACAATTTGACGAAACATGCAAATTAATTCAGCACGTAAGGGACGCGATTCTGGAAGACTGTGAGCAACAAGCCAATCACGTAGACTCTTGGGGGAACACAACTGCATTTGAATGTACAGATAGCATGTATACTTAACTTCATTTTTATGTTGCGCCTTTAAAATTTTTTTGTCGACGGAATGTTTTGGAATATCTGAATCAGTACATGAAAGTGTTTCAGAACTGCAGTTATTTTCAAATACAATAAGGCTGTCATCATCCGAATAAGCTTTTGAAGGTTTGTAAGAACTGAAAGATATATGAAAGTTAGATGCATAAGAATTTCACGATTGATATTAAACATGTATTGAACAGTTACTACTCATAGTACCTGTCAGTACCTTTGACTTAAGATAACTTATTGGGATTGCTAAGATGCCTTCTAAACACAGAACTCTTAGAAAAATATATATGTTCATGCTTTAAACAATAAGACAACTATTGTGTGAGCTATGGTGCATCGTCTATCCAAGACTCCTTAGGTAGAACAGGGTGCGCTGACCACTTCACTTTCTCGAAAAGTCCGATCATCATTCGAATGTTTGCGAGAAAAGTAAATTCAGCACAGAATTAAGAAAGACCTCTATTGGCCTTCACCAAATCGTATCATTAAAACGTAGGATCGCATATCAATGTTTGACTGTACAATGCATCTACAATATATTACTATTACTGTACAACCGTTGATAAAAAAAACCTGGTACGACATAAACACCAGGAGATGAGCTCTAGGTTTTCGACCATAACCGTGACCAATTAGCCACATGTTCTGAAATCACAGAATCAAGAACATAGCTTACACATAACGTATTAGATTGATGAGGTTGTAAACCATAGACTCCAATGCCCGGGACATATGTCACTCATACCTGGTCACCAGCTACTTGGACCACCTACGTTAGCCGAAGCAGAAGCTAGGTAGGTGAAACTGTTATATCTTTGGCTGTGAAGGGTTAAGGGAAATGACTGAGTTAACAGGTGAGAGTTGATCCTATAGCCACCAAAGTCAAACCAGCTGACTCGGTGAAAAGGCGAGTTTAGATGATCAACCTATGCAACGCACTATTATTTGTATTTAGCAAGACATGCGAAGTGTGCAAGGCCTTAAAGTGTAGGCGGTCAAGTCAGAATGTGAAAGAATGAGAGCAAGGACAGATATGTGAAGGACATTCGAAATTGATTGTCTGTGGCTCAGAGTGACTTTGAAGGCCACTGCAGCAACAACCAAAACAACCAATTAGACTTCAGTATTTTATGCAAATCTGCTTTTCCAGCCGAAAGGGAGAAGCCTAATTGATCATTTCGACTATTGCCAGGGTGACCTTTAGAGTCGTCTGTTTCTCATATCCTCTTAGCAACGGAGACAACATAAAAGCTTATATCAAAAGTATGAGTCATTTAAATTGTTTTTGAGTATTCGGTGGACCCAGATGAACTTGTGACTGAGTGATAAAAGTTAGTTTCCAATATTATCTGTTTGAGTTACAACCAATAAACCACGAATATTTCGATATTCCAGGTCATAAGTCATATATGTTGACTGAGTACAGCTACCAACAACACCCAACCAAGTATGGTGCTGCGAACACTTTTTATCTATTGCGTTAAAGTAGAATGCCAAAACCAAGAGCCTAATTACAAATAGAGCAAAAGTAAAGAGTGAGATTTTCACTACAAGAAATTAGTCAGAAGACTTTCGGAAGTTGGGATGTTATTCAACAAAGTTCTGGAACTCTTTAAAAGTGTGTCCTGCTCCAGGAATTTAATATAAAAATCCTAGATCCTGCATAACACAGACGATACTCCTAAATACATGGCACGACTATCTATTGGTTGATGGTGGCTAGCAGTGGAATACAGGATGCGCGTACCTTCCGATTTGGAACTCATCAGGTGGATGAACCTGCATCCCAATAAGTGGTGTCCCCAATGAGACTCAAAACCAGCCCCTATCGCCTTAAACGTGAGCATTGCAACTAGGCTACTGATATAGGAGGCACTTCCTTTTCGGTGGTTATCGACTATTTTTGTAATGATACTTATTTCCAAGCTATATCGAGACATTCACATAAAAGCCTATACACCAACAGAGAACGATCAATGCGATCCAGTATAACAACGGGAAATTAAAAGTACCGATAAAGTGTTATTGTGAGGAATAAGAATGACATAATCTTCATAAAAAGCCCTAAATCTCTAAAGCCTTCTCTACAACCAATCATGTTGCACCGTAGTTTAGACAGGAAGTACATGAACCAATGTGTAAATATCAGATTGGTTTAAGGGAGGAAAATCGATAAGACATTCAATATATATATAACTCAGGCTATATGAAGTCACTACAAGAATATAAAAAATAGCTGACCAGATAATCAGACATGAAATGCATAAACTGATAGATTAAGTGGATTTAATATTGGCATCTAATTAGAAGTTACGTTTCACTACACATATAGTACAGTCATAAACCCGAGTCACGGCTTATAAATGACATGTCACATCTCTCACTACTGGTCTTCCAACTCCAATCATTCCTGCTGGTTAAACAAAAGAAATAGTGATAAGCATACCTAAAAGAATTTGATCCAATTGATCCCCCTGCAGCTAGAGATGAACTTAAATGATATGAACCAAGATTCAACGAGGAAGAAATTGTGTTCGAAAAACAATTTTCATCATTTCCACATTCCGTAGAATCACTTTTGCTAGTTAGATCATCAGAAAAATCCATCATCATAGCATCGCGTGATTCTTGCCAACCAGCAGGAGGATATTCTTTCCAAGCTCGATGATAACGAACGATACCTGGATGATCAAGTGTAGCGAGAGCTAGAAGAGGATTAGGAAAAGACATTAAAGTGTGTTAAAACCTTTGGCTGAAGGAGTGAATAGTGTGGTCATAAACCACAGTTCAAAAAATACCCAGTAGAGCACAACCTCCTTTTTACTGCATCCAGCTAGAGAATATAGAATTTATATTAAAACTCTGGAAAGAAGCTGAACAAATTGAAAAGGCCTATGTGAGAACGTACTAAAAAGAAACATAAAACCTAAAAGAATTAACAGAATGGTTAAGAAAAGAATATCATGCATGATAGCAGCATGAAGAAATCATATTGTTTTGCGGTTGATGTTCATCACGGACTGACATCACTTGGAGAACCTCTGGAAACCTGGGGGGCATTTGAAAACTGTTTCAGTCCCAGTATGGGACTCCTCAGTAATATGCACCCAAGGATCAAACCCAAAACCTTCGGGTTCTGCGGCAAGCAAGCAAACATTGAGCCACTGAGTCGGCACCCACTGGTCTACATTTCCTACTCCTGTAGGTTCACGATATAGTGCCACCTTTATCCAACGTCTAGCAGAGTAACTTTTCTCATCTCCGACTTCCTTGGCCCCACCGGTCATGATTTTCCATTACAACTTCTGGGGATTTATTTATTGATTTTCGGTTGATGTTCGCCGTGGACTGACATCAGAAGAAGCACTGGAAACCTGGGAACGCTGGACAGCCGTTTCGTCCTAGCACGGACCCCCTAAGTAGTGTGCACCACTGACCCCATCCATGATGAATATCAACCGGAAACCAATGAATAAGTCTCCACAAACCTCCAAATTAAATCATATTGGATTGAATTTGAGAAGTCTACCATAAATAATGGCAAACTCGCTGGCTAACAAATAAAGGTGAGTTGCGCACATTGGTTGGTGAATTAATGCAGAACTTCACACAGAAGTTTGTCATTTCACAACAACACAAAAACAAAAACTAGACCAAAATGGAAAAATATTAAAATATACAAAAAGGAGTACGAGAGGCCGTGAGAAGTGGACATTGCACGATTCAACATTTCAAGTAATTGGTAAATAAGGTACAAGTTTTTGAACTTCGATTTTCGATCTACGCTGTTTCGTGATCAAGATGAACCCTAGTAAACATCAGTGTCCGAACCGACCAATAGGAATAGTTTATTTAGTTTTCTTTTTAGCGCATTTCTACGCAGGGTAGTTGTTCACGTAGAGTTCGGATTTATTCATGCATTTATCATCGTTACTTCTATAATTACGTTCGCAAATCCACTTAGTCACTTCAAGAGAAGAGTGGACAATTCAATTAGTTTTACTAAGAAAAACCCCAATCATAAATTTTGATGACAAATAAAGAATGGTGAAGTTGAATCAGAAGAGACTGACAAGAAAATCTCAGATGCCATTGCATTGGATAGAAGACGGATCGATAATATGAACATGGAACCCGGCACCATTGTGTAATTGTCTAAAAAACCACACCTCATGTCTACACATCAAGTGAGAAGGCGCCTAAATGAAAGGTTAAGAAATAAACAGGAAAATAGTCAAAAGTGGTAGAAATCATGAAAAGAGAACAAGAAGGAAACAGATAATGGAATTCAGAATGATTACGATAGACATAATATGTGGATACATGTGTGACTGAGATCGATTCTGAATCATATTACCCAGGGTCTCTAACCACTGGTTTCTGCTGTCACGCGAACCCCAACCAGGAAACCTACATTTCCCTATACAGTTCACTCCAATACTCAACGATTTCATAAACTGATGCCATGTTTTAGTTAGGCCAGCTCTAACTTCTTTTTCATCTTGAACCTACTTCGGCTAACATTGTGTGAGAAGGCAGGTGGTAAATAGGCATGAACAACATATTTCTCAACCACAACTACCGATGAAGATTTATAAGCCTATCAACTGACCTTCCTCTTCTCCCTAAAATTCTACGCCTTAATTTTTACGTTATTGAAGTGCTGACACCACGACACAGACTATGCTACGAAAGCAACGGTGGTAGCTATTAACAAGCTATACCGGCATAAACGATTATTCCTTGAGATACGAATATGCACAAAGAATCTTTTGGATAGTGTTAAGACAAAAAGCACTTGCCATTATACCGTAAACAGCATACGTTATGATTGGGGTCCTAAGGTGAAGTCGTACTATTGCATGGATGGAGATGTGAGAGCAGTGGAGCTGTGATTCATTGATAGAGGGAGTTGACTGTCAACCAATGGTTCATGGTCCGCCTACCGAGGTTTGGGTAGCTATTAACCTTCACACAATAGGTATGACTCGTTAGCAGCTGCATGAACGTGCACAAGGTTGTTGAGTGTGCTTCGTTTTTTCCCAGTAATATGTTTCCTATAGATAACCAACAGTACCATGCTGATACTGCCTTCTCTGTCGAAAGGGAAGAAAGACAAGCTGGAGTAATAGGGAATGGAAGGTTTCCAGAGAATTCATAAAACTAATAATCCCTTACGCTCCATATTGTCTAAGTGTTATTCCTTCACACATAGACTGGCGAAAATGTTAAATCCAGTTCGAAACGAATTCTGTAAGTTTTCATTGAAAGATACTTCTCAATTTGCTGTCTTAGTACTATAAATATCGAAAACGAGACTATACACTCTTTTGATGTAAATTCTTTATTCGTCAATGTGCTGTTGTCAAAGACTATTAGCATTCTCTGTGATTATGTATCTTCTAGAAAGCTTCTATGCCCTATTACTCCAGCTTTTATGAGTCAAATATCATTGCTGTGTACCAACAAAGTTCATTTCACATTTGAAGGTGAACGCTTTCAACAGGTTGGTGGTGTAGCTATGGATAGTCCCTTAGGACCATTATTAGCTGATATTTGTATGTCATACACTGAAAATCTGGCTAGTGATCTCATCGCTAAAGCTTGCCTTCACAAGAGAGAGGCGTGAAGATATTGTTTGTCTACTAAAAAGACTTATCACCATACAAAGTCATATCAGCCTGACGTGTGAGAAAGAAAATAATCATCATCTACTATTCTTAGACATATTCTTGAGTCGACGGCATGGTTTAATAAGACGGCTAGTCTACAGAAAGCCTACATTGAATGTACAATATATGAATTTCAGTTTTTTTGTCCGATTCATTACGAGCGTGGTCCAGTAAAGTGCCTGTTTAGTAGGATATATCGTGTCTATATATCGGACACGGTGATTGAAGATATCAGATTACTGACCAAAACACGGAAAACTGACATCCGTTGCGGTTTATAAACCATTGTAGAAGTCAGGTAGTACCAAAGCCAACTCTACATACGGTTCCTCAGAAAAGCATCCATACCACTCTACCGTACTGAATTGTATAACTTAAAGACGTAGGTAACACTAGCCACCATCAGGAAAACGCACTGTGCAGTTAACCTTATTATTGCGGAAAAAACAGAACACATACCTCACCGCAAACCTAAAGGCTGCATCAATGATTACGTCATATCCCATTGTATTTACCAGTTTACATGTGTGCGGTCGCATATACATAGGGAGGAGTAATCGAGTCATGCAAATGAGGTTGGGAGAACATGTACCTAGGTGGCTTCAAAAGCAAATGGAGTGTGAAACTTCGAACTACTCTGCGATCTTCTAGTGCCAGCGATATGGGTTTATAGCTGTATTTGAAAAGAAACTTAAACCTCGAATTTCTGAACTGAGATGCAAATTGTAATCAAAGCCCAATTTATTTCAACTATCAGACAGCTTGCCCAGTTGTCATGAAAATGACGGTGGGACTGCCTAAATTTTTTCAGCAAACTGAAACGAAATGTGTTGAGGTCAGATGGGCTAGTACGGGAGATACTAAAAGATGACAGTCGAAAATTATTGGTCAGATGAGCTGAAACGTCAGCTACTGCATGAGAATCAGTTGTGATTCCCTACGATTTGCCCTAGCTAGTGATTATCTCCCATCTTCAGGAAAATGGGGGATATCTTCTTGTGATAACCTCAGAGGGATCAACCTGACGAATATATTGTTTAAATTTTTGCGCTCCATAGTCCTCAGATGTTTGAAAGAAGCTCGATAACAGTAAACTCAAAAAGCTGAGTTCTAGGATTAACCGTGGACATATCGACCAGATATTCACCCCCTGACACTAACGGTATTTATCGACCTAAAGGTGGCATTCACCCTGGTCGATCGAGAGGTCTTATGGTAGTGTTTCACTGAAAGGGCTGCTGAGTAAGTGCATCACTTTGTTGAAGTCTCTTTGCTCGGATACCCGTTTGGGCATGTTAGAGCCACTAGTGAGTTGTGTACTTTGAGTAGTATCTCTCAAAGACGCCCATCCTCTCTGTTCTTATTCAACTTTATCAAAGATGTACTTATGGAGATTTCCCTTTCGTTGTCTGACTTTACAAGGATTGATCTTATGGCAGGAGAATCCCTAGTAGATCCGAAGTAAGCAGTTGATATAACCTTGTTAGAGGAATATGCTGACAGGTGTAGTTTAACAATAAGTAAAACGGTTAAGTAAGTTGATCACTTCACACTTACATAAGAAGTAGGAACAGTGACCGAAAAAAGCCCAGAACGGCAGCAAATGTCTTGGTTGGCCTTCACCGACCTACGCCATTTGTGGTGCTGTCGTGATATCAAACTACCTCTTAAGGGCTGAGTTTGCTATGCTTAAGGTCACACTGCTCTACTATTTGGCCGTGAAGCTTAGTTATCAAAGAGTATGAGAAGACAACGGGTGTTCAAGTATTCTTACATGGGTCGTGTTTGATGGAACCAATGCATCAGTGATGGAGAAGCTAGGAGTAGAGTTTTAGACAGTAGAGGTGAGTTAGTTCATGTGGTTCTGAACCCTCATTAACTCAGACGACCAAAAAATGCGTTACGCACGCCTAGTAACCGTCTGTCGTATCACACAATATTAGCTGGAGTAGGTCTAGCCGGGAAAACGTTGGGGCTACCCAGTCCATGAAGTCTTTGAGTGTTGATCTGAGTCATGTATGGGAATGCGAACTTCTTGCTTGGGTCCATGTAATAACCAAATCGGTAGTTGGAGACTCTATGTGAAGTGGTTCAGAATTGATCTCATTAGTGCAGATTTACTCACATATTACCTTCATCTTAATCGTTTCACAGAAACTGTTAACAATTTTACTCTTTTTTCTCCTTTTAAGAGTTTCCAGCACTTTTTATAAGTGTCTTCATTATTTTGCTTTCTTTTATTTTTGTGCCAGCCAGTTAAAGTTATGGCAACTTCGACAATTATGCAAAGATTTCAAGTCCCATGTTGATCCTGACTGACCGGAACAAAGAGTGATTTATAAATCCGAAAAATCTACGTGATAATCATTTCGACAGTAACTTACTTGATGGTGAAATGCCTAACAACAGTGTTTAAAGTTCATAGACTAAAATAAGTAGACTAGCTTCGTTGTATAGATCTGTAGTTAAAGGATGGAAGAAAGAATAAATGATTTAAAGTTTCAAAAGTTCCAATGGTTAGATAATGTTTCTAAGGCCTATTTGAGGGTGAAAGTTTGTACGAAACAACCACCAACTCAATGGGTATCAAAGTCAAAGATAACCTAGAAAATCGGATAGTATCAAAAGAACTCAGACAGTAAACTTGGTTGATGCTACGGTAAATAAAGCCTGCGTTAAGTGTCTGAAATTCCTTGTGTTGAGATTGAGAATGTTTAAAGAAAGCTGTGCTGAAAAATGAAATTGGAAGTTGTATATTGAAAAAGCAGTATACTAACTAAATTTTCAACCGTTATTTCTCCCGCTTCAGTTTGTTGCTTACTGACACAACCTTTCAAAAGATCAATGTAACATACTTGCATGCAAAGAAAAATAACTACAGGCAGGCGTTAAGGACAAATTAACTGCAAAAATTACACTCAAACCTAATATAAACTCAGAATTTCTATTTTTACGCAGATAATGAAGACAAAATATTTACTACCAGAAAAAACACGCCTGATCGTATATATATACATAACCGATTGGATAATACAACGAAATCAATGCTAAAAATCCTTCAACAAAAGTGTCGGAATACTAAGGTCATTCATAAAAATATGGTATTATTTCTTGCATAGACTTTATAACACCCCCTCATACCCTCCCACTGCCTTTCATGCTTAAGAAATTGAGTAATTAGTGGTGTCATCTGAAGGTTTCTGCGCAAGCGTTCACATGCTTATTTTTATATATATAATGAGGCGAAAATCATATGCTTTAAAATTCACAAGTAACATTTGTGCAGACGAACCTTTCACTTCTCGCAGAAAAATATTTTTATCATCATCAACCTCGTTCATTCTTATACGTTTAATAGCATAACGGCAACCATCTAAACGATTTTCAACTTCAAAAACTTGACCAAAACCACCACGACCAAGACGACGTATAAATTTGAAATCTATTTCAAATGGAGATGTAAAGGAAGGTTGTGTAATATGTGTAGCAGCAACAAACTGATTCGTAGTACATGATTGTAAAATATCCGAAGTTGAACAAGATGGAAGTATTGTTGCTTCAGTTGAACTCCCTGATGAACTGCTAGATTTGACAACAACTGATTCCAAATCACATGTCTTGTTATAAAACGAATCATTTCTCAACCTAGAGTAATACAATAAAACTTAAAGTACAATCGTATATTTTTTAAGAGGTTATAAGACATCTAAAACTGGCATTTAATGTCAATCGACATATTAACAACCTCGAGCTCAATAGTGTAAAAGCCCAACACTTAATGGTCAGGATATACATTCATAATCCTATGTGCTACAAATATGTAGCCCATATTGCGTCACACATACACTGACGTGCATGCTTGTCTAGTGATGACAATAGATAATTAGATCACATAACTTTTGAGTAAACGTTCGATTATTATTCAAAACGATTAGATTACACTAAACTAAAATAGTGTTGATAACCTAGTAATCCTTTTTATCCCAGTAATCTAGGATATTTTCTTAGTGAAAACGAATCGAACTGCTATTGAACATATTTAGCTGTTAAAAGTGTTGACAGTATCTGGCACCACTATTTGGTAATAATACTTACCCTACTGAATACAGAAATTACATCTTACAGTGACTGATGGTATGTCATGCCTTCAGTAGATACTATGAAACATTGTCGTCACAGGTCACAAGTAGAACGTAAATGGTTACTTTCCAATAAGAATCAAGTTATTTTATTCTACCACGACGATTCATACAGTAGTTTATAGAATTAATTTGTTAGATATTCACAAAAAAGGCTCAACGGAGCAATTAATTTTGATGTCTTTGAAGAGAGCTTTGCACAACCTCTACAAAACTACTACAATAACAGTTAAACGGTAATTTCCATATGAGCTGGATCAAAGTGATCGTTTGGTAGTCAACTTCGAAAGTTAGGGAAAATATTCGGTTTTGTGTGTCCAAGGTAAAAGCGACTACGGGAGAGTTTGTAACATGGCACACTTCAAAGGTTCAGGCTATAGAATCGATAAGACATAATGCGCATGTTACGTTAAATATAACAGTGAGATGTGACTCATCTACCAGGAACGTTTGTGGATAAGAATATTGGTCACAATAAATGCGCAAGGACTTATGACATAACCTAGTTACCCAAACCAGGACCCAGGCATAAAAGTTAAAAAACTAAATTTCCAGCTGTGGGTGTGTCGTAATTTGCTAAGAGGATTATGAAATAGATAACCTCAACTTTTTTTGATCAAAGAAAATTTGATCCTACCAGCTACGTGACTGATGCTAAACTTGTACAAGGATTTTTAAACCAAGTTGGTCACTAAAAAAAGTGAACACCCTAACTACACTGGTTAGATTCAATAAGTCAGAGCAGGTTGTTTAATACCCGTTACGCAAAAAAATGGCTCTCATGCCCCAGTAGCTCACCATATGGTGCTTTGGGGTTTGGAGTGATGGCTACTGGGTTCGAGTTTCAATGGGAACAACATTACTCATTGGGATGCAGGTACATCCAGTTGATGAGTCCCAGACAAGAAGAAACGCGCGTTCTGCATTCCACTGCTAGTCACTAACACGAATACAAAGTCAGAGCAGGTTTCAATCTGCGATACGTTCTTTACAAGTTCCCAGAATATTCAGGAATAACCTCACAATTTGACAATGTAGAAATCTTGGACAGAGGAAACATAAAGAATATCAGAGAATTCCTAGAAGGTTGGCATTCAAGTCAGTCAGCAATCAGTAGAGATAGACTCAATTTATCAGTCAATGAGAAGAATGATAAACGACAGAAAGGTCAGAGGTCAAGCAGAGGAACAGCCAACAGAAAAATCTGTACAGTCAATGACACAACAATCAAAGGAAACAACTAATCACAAACCAAATTATCAAGGCAAACTACTAAATTACCCACGGAGAGATATTGACAGCTCACTTCATACTAAAGTTAGTGCTGATGATGTCGTCTAGAAAGACGATAAAAGCTTCACGATTAAACAACCTAGATCAGAGAACACAATACAACCAAAACCTCACAAGTGTAAGTCAGCGGAAATGAATTCAATGGGTTATTTTAGTATACTTTCAGCGTGTTTACGGAAAACAAACATTTTTGAATGTTTTGTTGCGTGAACGGTAAATTATTCATTGACAACCAAAAAGTAGTCAAGTAATACAAAAATGGATTTTTGTACGGATGACTAGTGAAGTAAAACGTTTTGAAAAATCTCGTTTCAATGTTTGTTTTAAGTACATTAGTTTTCGAGTATTCTTATTCCAATTTCTCTGAGACATTAGTAACACCTGTCATCTTGATACCTATATATGAACCCAGAGATTGACTGCCAACACTTAAAATCCTATGTTTCTCAGCTTCCAATTTCTAGGCATTCAAAATGAGTAAAACCTAAAATCACCGAAACTGAACAGAACAGTTATAAAGTACTTCTGTTCCCAAAGGTCGACTCAACTAACTGATGAAAATTCCAATTTGGAGTTATCAAACATCCTTCTGTGTGCTAACACAAACTTCAGAGTGTTGCAAAAGTTCAAATCTTCAGAATAAATTCATGGTAGTTATGCTCCAGACTACTTTAAAAATCCAACCAAAATAACACTGAATAAATACACAAAAAAATAAACCGAATAGTTGACAGAAACTTTAGCATAGTTAGTAAATGGTAATCCAGTGACAAACTAACCGAAAAGAAAACTGCACCAATAACTAATTTATGTGCAATACATTTAGAAAGAAAACTTACTGTGTATCATAAGTGATTTTCACATTCATAATCCATTGAGCTGTGAAATAAAGCATTCCAGCTACAACTATCAGCTGGATAAAATGAGTGGATAGACTAAATCCTAATGAACGGCCGCTTTCAGTATCAATAGGCGAGTGATTTATAGCGATTTCACTTGCACGTAAGAGTAGCATAATTAAATCATTGGCACTATCGAAAATCCTTTCTGGTAAACCACTACTACCATCGCTGGCATCTACATCAGCTGAATTCGACTGTGATACGATTTGTTCATTTGAGGTATCTGGTTGAAAACCAATGATATGTTTAAACTGCCCTACACTGTTTGGAAATCCTAGAGCAGTAGCTTTTTCAATTGTTTCTTCAACATTGTCATCTGAAAGGAAAGGTTGAATAGATGTCCGCAATTTCGGAGACTTTGAATAAGATGCATGATAATATCCAATCAACGAAGAATAACCGGGAACACCATGTTCGTCTAATAGTCCACCTGAGGGTACCGACAAACTCTTGGACAGATTAATCATATCCGGACTAGGTAGATCCGCACCATCTCCAACCTAGTTAAATGTCGATAAAAAAAATACTTCTGAAATTACAGAAGAAGCAATACCGTAAACGAAATGCAGGAAAGTCATAATTACTTTACAACCAGAAAATATCTACAGAAAAAACCCAGAAATAGTATATCTTTGATGCTATAAACGATTTATTGCAATAAGTATTCCAGGAAACAGCACAGCGATTTTGCTGAATATAATGGTCTACAGTCGCATTGTAAATTCAAACCAAATATGGTTAAACGAAGAGAGATTGGCTACTATTATTGGTTATTTGTTGACAAAACCAATACTGCAATTATGTAAAAAGGATGATTCCGCATTTATCCCTGATATCTAGAAAACTTTATTTGCACTGAAAACAAAAGAATGAGTTCGAGAACTATAAAGAAATTTGAAAGTAGTGACTACCATGATATTACTACGGAAACAACGTCCAATAAACGCTACTGTGTGAAATATCAAATAAATTAGCCAGCAGCTGTCTTTAATCTGATTGCAATAAATTGGCAAAATATTAAAAAGTTATAAAAAAAAGTTATCCAGTTAAATCATTAAAGCAAGTATAATCGGCACCATCAATGGCAAGAAACATCCCAACCAAGGAATTATACCACTGATGAATAAATATCATTGGTGACTCGCAACACATTGCCAACTGAATGAAATAAATTATTGGGAAGAAATTTAGCAGGTAAAATTTGCCAAACGAGAATTCATTCACCGAGAAGAAAACAAAGAAACGTACTCAGCCATTTTGTGCACATAGATGCTTTAGGCAGTCAGCCACACCTATTGTGTGAGCGCTAGTGAAACTACCTGGCTGTTTAAACCTCAGGAGGTCCAGCGGAGCTCGAACCCGTGACTCAATGGTTGATAGTCATCTTCCGGTACTACTGAGCCATATCTGCAGATCCACTCACTGGAAAGCAATTGTAGTTCGTATCATATGAAACCTTATATTTCTAATCTTCTCTACATGTAGTCCTGTGAAATAAGGTTAAGCGTAGAGATAGATAAAAAGCAGACACTTGATTAGAATTGTTGCGTTCTGAATTAGACGATTGAAATAAAGGCTCACTCGTGATGGCCTGCTTAAATTTTGGGCTACCAAAAATATTTCATTGAATATATTCCATAAAATTGCTCCTATTTTACTTGTTTTAACCATTTAAATGTCAACAAGTCATAAAACATACTCTAGCGCATTCTTAAAATGTCTTTAGCCTATTGTTAGAGGGGTTAGCAACAAGACTACGAGAAAATATAACAGTAGACGGCAGTTGGCCCCTGAACGCACAATACTGCATCATGTAGCTATTTCAGTAAAAAGGAGCTGGAACAGGAAATTTTCATACTGGATGAATGAACCTTCACTACCAAACTTACGTGTGCTTTTCTATCCCACTAACATACAACAACATACAAACTAGATAACGACCTAAAAGCTACTAGTTGTTGTAGGTTACTGCCTATCACACTGTTATTATTAACATTATTTAACTGCCATGGTTATTTATTTGAAAATATTGTACAAGTAGATTTGTCTAAATATCATAGTGAGAATTCCAAACTATGCCAAAAGTTATTGTCTGAAACAAAGTGATTAATAATAATAATAGTAATAATATTATTATTATCATTACCGAAGTAATCATTATGTACCGACTATTGTTAATCAGTATCCGAGAGGGTAGGTGATAAAAACATACATAAAAATGAGTCTAAAAGACACAAGTCTTCCAGTTTAAGAAATATGAGGCTTCTCTGAGGAAAGGAAAGCTACGGTTGTTGCTATTTTGTGCGAATAAAGCTGAATATATATAGCAAAAATGATAGACAAACTACAGTCCTTTCAAATTCACTAGAGAATATACTGCAATGAAGGGAACTTCTCGAGTTGCCCCAATGACTAGTTCTAGAAAAATACATAAGCTTTATGCTCTTCCGAAACGAAATACATCCTACCAATGAATGAAAATACAATTTCTTAAGTTGTTTTATGGTTGAAGTCAACTAAACGGTTAAATAATACTCCTATACTTGCTAATTACAATTTCCACGAAAAACCGGTAAATATTTTCAATTTTCAGGGTTGATTCTGCTACTGACGATAAGAATCAGTGTTTAATGCGTAATCAACGCGTTTCCAAAATGTATGTCGGAAGTTAAAAGAGTACAACACGAGATAATGCATAGGAACTTGTGACAACTTTTCGGAGAGGCATACAGGATGTAGGAATCAGTGAAGAAGCAAAGGACGATAATTAAACGATAATTGAACAGGAATCTAAATCCGATATCTTGCTCATATGTAGTTTAAGAGCAGAACAACAAGAGATCATAAAACATAATAAATTATGTCTTAGATATTAGTTGGTTGGAGACAATCCACAGGAAGCTCTGGACCTGGGTTTCGTGCTTGTTGGGACTCGTAAGCAAGGCATATCTGCAACCTCAAGGAAACTGATGTCTCCTCTGAGATTTGAACCCATGGTAGCGACGTTACCACTGAGCTGTTCGGGCCGTGACTGACCTCCTGTAGGATTGCACTACACAGTGATTGGTTACAGCAGACTTCATTACTGGGTGACGGAGGTTTGAATCTCAGAGGAGAAATCAGTTTCCTCAAGGTTGCAGATATGCCTCGCTTACGAGTCCCAACCGGCGAAAAACCCAGGTCCAGAACATCCTGCCAATTTCCCCTAACTAGCTAACATCTACAAATGTGAACCGCGATCCTAAGCCTCCTAGCTCGGTGGCCACATTGCGAATGGATCAATAGGATTCAGTCAGCACCCAGGAGTAGACAACATGAAAATGATTGATCTCCTGTGACGGATCAATAAAAATTATGCCTTAGTTAGGAGTAGGATATAAGTAGACCATACAACAGTGCAGATAAAGTAAAAAGCCAAAACTAGGTGTAACAAGCTTGAAAGATAGTCCCGACTATGTTAATAGCAGAAAAAAAGTGTAAAGGGTAGTCTCAACGAGTGTACTCACCTGAACATATAGCTGACCATTTAAACTACCAAGATAGATTAAACGATCATGAGATGGACATTTGTTTTTCTCCTTATTCGTTGAAAAATGAGTCCTCTTTCTGTTGAGTAAGTTTAAACCCTTTTCCTTTAATAATCCAAAATTTCGGACAGTAAAAGTTTTTTCCTTAGATTCATTCAACTTTTCAACTAACAGTACAGCAGCTCTATCATCTAAAATTTAAATATAAACAAGTTAATAAGAGAAAAACTTACGTTAACAGGTAAATAAAAGAGATGTAATTTTTTGGAAGTGGTCTATGCAAAAGAAGTTAGTAAATGAGAAAATTTAAAAATCCCAGCACGATAAACTATATAAAACTCAAAATTTGACTGACCATCAGAATAGAGTATTTTTCAGGTCTCCTTTAAAACTAGAGACTAGATAGGTATAGTGCTTTTTGTAGTCTTTCAATTGCAGTTAAAATAAATAAGTAACATATGACCAATCATCATCGGCATATGGGCTCACGTGCAGATGCCTTGATATTGCCGTTATTTTTAGTCCGAAGCTCGAAGACGAACAACATTGCTCACTGAGAGACAAGCATACCAAGCTGATAAGTTCTGATACTACTGCCAATCACTACCACGACTGATAACTGCTACCTTAAAGTGGTGGTCGGGCTTGCATACCGCAATGACCCGACGAATGATTATTTCTTCAAATTTTACCATACCCCAAAGCTCTTCTGGTTAGTGGTGAGAAAAAAAGGAGTTACGGTTATAATGTAAATAGATTCCACTACAGCTAGGGTACAAAGGCGAAGTCGTACTGCTGGATGTATAGGAGTGTGACAGCAGTAAGGTGTATCCCCCCGGATGACCAGCAGTTTATGGTGAAGAAGCCTTCTCTTTGAAAAAAAAAGGTTTGAAAAACCCTGGTCCCATAAATATCACACTTCTTCCTGTCCTCCAGTCTTCTGATAATGGAAATATGCCTTTTCCTTGTCCCCTCCCCACCTTGTAGCACAATCAAATCTCAGTCCAAAACTCTTAATAAGGTTCTATGTGACCGCTGCCAACAGCAAACAAGACCCAATTAACAATAACCTACCTTACTTACATCATTGTCTCCTTCCTTTCCTTTAACTTTCTTCAACCTCACCCTACGAAAACTTATATGATTTTCTGTTTCTGTTTAGAGTTATGCAAAAAAACCTTGCTTTCTTCAACAATCGGGTAACACTAATAAGCCTATCGTTGAAATAAAGCCTAATACAGATGACATGATTAAGAGATATTATTAAAAAGCATTTTAACTGAAATGTGTGATAGACACACACCTGAATATGGTTCAACCACAAGTAGTATTATTTTACAGTAAGAATCGGTACTGTAACACAACAACACATTCTGAATACTGAAGTGCTACAAAAATATTCTAGCTTTATAGAGCTGAATATGTTTCCTTTCCAAAAAAGGCTACACAAGTTGACAAAGACGTAGATCCACCTACTTGTGATTACAACGACTATGAATTAACTAGTTTTGGTGAAAAATAGCACTTAGGAGATAAATATTAAAAATACTGACCCACTTTCAACCAATTAAACGAAATGGAGGAATATTTATTGTTTTTTCCTGATTTACGAAAATAAACATAGGATTCACATGGAGACTGAGAACACGTGGATTTACCATTATTTTTATTATTCTTTTATGTAGAACACAAAGTTGGTATAAAATGAGCACTAAGAGAAGCGCCAAATAAAATATTAAAACAATACTAAGATAAGAAATAAAAGTTAGGACTGGAACAAAAATATAAATAGATTACTAAAGAAGCCGTCTCAAAGGTTCATTCAACGAAAGATCAACCATTTTCGTTTTCATGTTCAGTAAGAGAAGAAACAAGAAAGCTGCAGTAAAATCATTAGTGGTTTCGATTCTGAGTAATGTCTGCTATTGTCGCAATTCACTGAGTTGCATGACGTAAATTTACTGCAAACTAATTTATACATAAGATTCAATGGAACTTCTTGCTGTAGCATAACTAGCAATTGTTTCTATCTTGTTCACATGACATTCACATGAGCGTATCCGCAGAATATGGCTGATAAATAGTAGTGAGCACTGTAGGCATAAAAACATAATTGATGTATATCACTTTCCAAACAGTATTTCGTAATTAGACTGTCTAAATGTGTCGGAGTGTAAGCTTCTTTGAACTTCGATCTACAGTTAGACATCGCATCAAAATAAACACTTCAACCAGTACACGCAACTACTCACAAAAAAAACTTCGTAACTCGTCAGTCAGCACAAATTATTACCAATCTAGTAAAAGTGCATGTGGAAACACATCACAATGTGATGAAGTGCGATTCCAGTAGCATGCAAGCTGTCTAAAAGCAAGATAGCACTACAATGCACCCACTTTAGACCAGCTTCAAGAATGAATGTGCCCACCACTTCAATTACTTAGAAAGCTACATCAGCACGAACCGGTTAATTGCTGAAAAAATCTGAGCCTAGATATAGTAGGCCTATTTGGCACTTGCCAACATGTATAAAATACAGTACCGAGTGGAGAGATATCCAACCATTTATCATAAAAGGATGAATATACTCAGCTCCAGTCCTCTGTCTTGCTGTATGGCTGAGACATGGCCGTTGAAAGCAGACGACATGAAGCGGTTACAGGGTTCTGATCATACATATCTTTGTAGCATTACTCGCGAATGATGGAATCACCGTGTGAGCAATGCTAAGGTCAGGAGAAGGGTACTAGACAGGAAAGGCAAGTCGAATGATGACATTGTGAACCTTGGTCGACTGAGATAGCTTAAACATGTGCTGCACAAGCCAATGCGAGCCACCGCCTACCTCGACATGCCATGCTAGGAGAAGTTGGATTAGATTGGAAGAGGGTTCAGGGTGGCCGGACCAAGATCTGGCACCAGTCGATGGAATCTCTGACTATTGGCCTGAGTTGTGTGGGGGTGGGAGTGGGATGTAGACTGGCTGGTTGGGGTCCTCAAGACGAAAGCAATCAGTGGTTGAGGACTAACTCTTAGTGACGTAGCTGAAAATCAATCGATCATAATGGTGCAGATGTATTCACTCCTTGACATCTTCTAGAGCTTGAATATTCGCACTAACCGTTATCTTCAGATTGTTTCTTCTCACACAACTTTATCTACTTTTATATCACTTCTTTTCTATCCACCTGTTCTTTTTGTACTTCTGTGAAGTGTGGCCACTTGAGTCAATGGACCAGTGTGGGAGGTTATATGTCGATTTCGTCGGTCAGTCACCTTTTAGCATTCACTAATTTTCCTGACTGATTTTGACGTCTGGTCAGTAGGTATTTTTAACTCTACTGCTAATTTCGCATACAATCAATATGGAATACGTACACAGATCACTGCTACTTGTTGTAATTGACCTACTTTTAACGACCTCACACATTTTTAATGGTAACATCTTTCACCATTTCAATTAGGTTTTAAGATTAACAAGGTATTCGTTCAAGAAAGCATGCTTTTTGTGGATCAATTGGTTATATTCAACTGTAATTAGCTTAGATATTATCGTTCAATAGTTCCGAATGCACCTAATCATTTGTCAACTCCAAAGTAGTAAGAACAAACTACTTTGTCTTATTTTAAAAGCAAACTAAATTAGATTCGAAAGAATATCTGAACTTGTGTGGACTACTTCATGATTTCGTCTCCACCTGGCAATCACGCGGATGTCAGTTTGCTGCTAGTTGTATCTAAATTATTAGCTGTTTTCATACTTCTCAGGTTCTTCAAGTTGCCTTAAAAACTGACTCATGAGGAACAAGTGTTTCCGTTTCAAATCAAAGGAACTAGTTAACCTAGACTTTTTTTAGCAGTTTCTAGTAGAACACAGTATCGTAACTAAATATTTAGTCTTTTGTCAGTCTAATGGGATAACCTAGTTCATGAATCGTGATGGTACCTTACATTCTACTGGAATTATTATTTTTAGGCATCAAATCAAGTCATTTACACACCCAGAGATGACTTCATTTGGTGTAATGAATCAGTTGCGGACTTCTTAATCTTGTTCATAAATGCATCTATAGGTCTCGTAATTTCTTTATGTGATCCTGTTTGGATGCGTTCACTTTCTTCAGATAATCCATCTTATCCATATCTAGTGTCAAGCTGCCTTTATCAGAGTTGTCAATTACCACATTATTATTATTTCTTAAGTCTCTAAGTGCAACATTTCTAGTTTCATTAAGTTCTGTCTCACTGTCTCGTGTGTTTTAGTGTTAATGTGCATTTAGTATGGACCTGATCAGCAGTCGTCTTACTTACTGAGCTTAATGCTACTTCTCGAGGACTTTTACTTCAATCAGGTGCAATTCTCTTGTTGAAAAGGTGATCACCCATTTTGTTTGGTTGATGGCTGACGGTCATCAGTCAAATAAGTGTTCTGTGTGGGTTATGGATTCACTGATCCCTTGTTCACTATCTTGACGGTAAAAACCTATCACTAGTTTTCTGTGTCAATAATTGTTATGTTTCTTCAGGTGAAGAGTGTTTTCGGTTCTTTGAGCAGGATTTTGGAGTGAAATTATTTGTTGGGAAGAAGTGTTGTGGAGTAGTTTGATAAGATCTTGAAAACTAAATACATAAGATCTAAGGAACATCGGAAGCATGCAACCAACTCTCTTCGGTATTCCACATCAACAGTGTAGCTAGATAGACTTAAGTGACTTTACGATTCTTTAACCGTTGCTGACGTTATTGAGGCTGACTGATTGACGCAATCAACATAAAACCTCCCACACTGGTCCATTGACTCAAGTGGCCACACTTCACAGAAGTACAAAAAGAACAGGTGGATAGAAAAGAAGTGATATAAAAGTAGATAAAGTTGTGTGAGAAGAAACAATCTGAAGATAACGGTTAGTGCGAATATTCAAGCTCTAGAAGATGTCAAGGAGTGAATACATCTGCACCATTATGATCGATTGATTTTCAGCTACGTCACTAAGAGTTAGTCCTCAACCACTGATTGCTTTCGTCTTGAGGACCCCAACCAGCCAGTCTACATCCCACTCCCACCCCCACACAACTCAGGCCAATAGTCAGAGATTCCATCGACTGGTGCCAGATCTTGGTCCGGCCACCCTGAACCCTCTTCCAATCTAATCCAACTTCTCCTAGCATGGCATGTCGAGGTAGGCGGTGGCTCGCATTGGCTTGTGCAGCACATGTTTAAGCTATCTCAGTCGACCAAGGTTCACAATGTCATCATTCGACTTGCCTTTCCTGTCTAGTACCCTTCTCCTGACCTTAGCATTGCTCACACGGTGATTCCATCATTCGCGAGTAATGCTACAAAGATATGTATGATCAGAACCCTGTAACCGCTTCATATCGGCTACTTTCAACGGCTATGTCTCACCACCGTACAGGAGGATAGAACTGATACGCTAAAGGGTACCGATAAGTATATTCGTCGCATGACATAGTCATTCGATAAAGGATTTTTATGCTAATTTAAGAGTAGAATTCCATTACAGCTTTATTATGTTTCACACTGTGAAAAAGTATTATTTACTAGTAGAAATTAATCAGCCAGTATCAACATGAAACCTGGCATTACTGTCCAAGTTACTACAAGTGGTAATTATCATAATACTAATAATCACAACAATGTTGTTTCATGCTGTGATACATTTAGTGAAATGTTCATAATGAAACTCTGTATTTTATATGCCTTTCTTAGAATCCAACTTGCATGTTTTATGTGCATAGTTAGAGCTTATAACCTCTAAATGACTGAATTCAATGTTGTAAGCTAACGTTTTACTACCGATAACACGCAACTACCTATCTGATATGCTACACTAGGAAACGGCATAGAAAACTACCTGATGAAAAAGTGATGACACTTCATTTGTGCATGTAAAGAAAATGCTTCTCAGGCATTTCCGCAACCAGAAATCATTCAAGAAGCTCTCGAAGTTTGCTGAAGCAGTGAACATATGATTATTTTTAGCGCACTCTTTATCGATTTTAATAAAACACATGTTTAAGTAAATTCAAAGAACAATTTTCGAAAAACCTTGTCGGAATGGGCCAAGACAAAATACAAGGCACACTTTCACTAGAACTGATAAAACTCAAAGTGCTACTCTATTTGGAGAGACTAACAAAGAGATCGACATGCGGAGACTATGGTGTGTTTACTCCTTATTTCAGTAAGTTGTCATAATTCTGGTCCCTGACACCAATTATTGACTTGCATATGCCATATCAAATTGTAAGTCTCATAAAAATCACCTAGATACTAAGTATACACTTATGTTTATTAGTAGCTCAATTATCGGTTTGATTTTAAGTAATTTTTGGCAAATAAAAACGTCCATGAATCAGTATTGGACTATCGTTTTGACTGGTGTAGAGAAGTGTAAGCTTGCTAGCTGAGGGCCTGAGAATGATAGGAAGCGATGTTTTGGATAGTTTTTGTTAACACGATGTAGATTTGTTGACCACTCAACATCTTCGTAATCTTGCTACTCGCCTTGATCTATTTATTCTCTATCAATCCTGTTTACTTTAGTATCAGTATTTTCGGTTTACTTATTCGTTGTGTTGCTATGATGTATGGCAACTTGAACTGATGCACCTGTATCAGAACTTATATTTAATGCGCTTATCTTCCCGATGAAGCAGATACTTGTTTCTAATCAGCAAATGTTTAAAATCCCACTTCAATCACGAAGTAACGTGTCAATGCTGTCAAAACCACCCTTTGTCGACCTGAAGATCACAATTTCGCACCATAAACTGGCAAATTTGACCTGACGTTGGCCACTGTTGAGAAGTGATTATTCATTTCATGTTTAAAGAAACTAGAAAGTACTGGTACAATCTATGTATTAGTCTTTGACTGGTTAGACACAACCATTTGACTCAAAACTGACCATAAATCTGACATTCATTGGCTAGAACATCACTCATGGAACTGTCTATTTGGAACGAAGCATTAAACAAAAAATGAGTAAACTCTATCACAAGCTGACCAACGGGTTAGATTAAAAACATCTTAAATAAACAGGACACTACAACTTACATGTAAACAAAGACAACGACCTTAAGCTCTGTAAATCTCTCCGATATATCCATGCTTTCGATATCCTGGAACTGAAGTTGAAAGACCATAAATCTTCAGGATGTGTATCTTTTGTTCGCGCTGTTATCATACGCTTCTCTAACCCGAAATCCCAATCTGGTTCGTCTACATCGACAAACGACTCATCCATAAAATCACCATGAATATTCTAAAAATAAGAAATTAGTCATTGACAAGAATGAAATATCTTATTTATGATACAAGTTAGGTGTGTCCACAAAAGCGATTTGCACAATTTAACAGATATTACGGATTGTGATAAAATATGAGTATTCATACGGTTGCAGATACCTCTCCAATCACGATAGTAGTCAGCTTTTTGTTGAATAGTTAAAAAAAGTGTTGGTTCAAGTAACATCTACAAAACAAACTACAAACTGTACTTACGCTGAAAATGACACCGAAAAGTTATTCTCTTAGTAACCTTAGATCATTGCAGTTGTTTTCATGCTGTGGTTACTAGCTGGCAGTGGGATATTTTCACATGTCCACGGCTTTGCATGTCTAGGACACATATAAATAAGGTTTATCAGCCTAACTAACCATAGATTGATCTGCCACAGCAAAGTGACTTTAAGGGCACCCTAGCAACGATAGAAATAACCAATCAGGTTTCTCCATCCCGGCTAGAAAGGCAGATTTTAGTAAAATAAAGAAGTCTAATTGGTTATTCTAGCAGTTGCTAGGGTGACCTTAAAAGCCAATCGACTGAGAGAGGACTTGTATGCAACTCAGCTACTAACGCCAGCAAGCGAAGCCATCATAACCGCAGCCTTAAAAAGTTAGGGGTGACTTTAGTGGCCACCCTAACAGTGATAAAACAGCCAATTATATTGCCGTATTTTATAGAAAAGTACTTTCCAAGGAGGAATAGAGAAACATGATTGTTCTATTAGTCAGCAGTGCTAGGGTGGACTTTAAAGTCGCCAGGGCGTGAGTGACTTTAAAGGCCACCCTAGCAACAATAAAAATAAACAATCACGTACCTTCGTTTCACCTGGAAATATAGGTTTTCATAAAATAAAGATGTCTAATTGTTTATTTCAGTTGTTGCTTGGGTGGCCTTTTAAGTCACTCTACATTTCTGAATAAGCAATACGCAAACTTAGGGCTAAAACCACTTAGCAATCAAATTCCACAAACCACAGAAATACAGATGGACGATGGTGCTTCTCTTGATAAAATCAGGTTGCTTTGATTAATGGCGAAACGGGTGCGCCAAAGCTCCCATTCCGGCATCCCGTAATTAGGAGTTTAATCTCGTAAAAAATGGTGGTAGCTGTCTGAATTTTGCTCAGAAAAGCTTAATCGTTTCCAAGTTTTCTTCCAATTATGCTTGACACATTTTTGATGCATACAGCTAACATTTGTGTTCAATATGCAGTAAGTGTCGTTCTTTTATATACGAGTGCTTCCTTAAGCGACTATGATTTCCAACTGGTAGCCTCATTACAAAACATTTGGAAAAGTCTGAAAGATGAGCTCACACGAAGCAAGTCAGTCGAATTAGTTTTCTATCATTCCACTTGGTTCTGATATTCTTACCCCTACTTTTCGATCTCTTAAAATATCGACCAGGACGGTTGCAATGTTTTAGTAAGTCTTACGCCGTTTAAAGTCTCTACCATGAGTCACATGGCAGATTAATTACTCCTGGGAACCCCTTTAGTTTTAATATTTCCGCTCGATAAACTAGTTACCCTACTCACTAATAAATTTTATTCTACGGTATCAAATCTTTGAAAAAAAATTTTAAGTCTTAAAATGATAAAGTGGTCAAGTGATTGACATATGGAAATCAGCTTATATGACGTATTATATCATAGATACATAGCATACGCTTGACAACTATTAGTTTCCAAAGGAGGACTAGAAACCCTTCGACTAAGGAATCTATCTCGAATAACTTTAAGGTTAAAACAGGATCACATTGGAATTCCATCAAGAGATGTAAACTACTTTATTATTTTTCGATTACATATTTTAAGTTCCCGTTAGATATTTCAACCCTTCTTTCAGGACAAAAATTTAAACCGAGGAAATATCTATTTATCATCTGATCCTGATCCCCACTCAACTACAAATGGGTCCCACCGCGACCTACTTTCAGTCATTTCACCAAGAGCCCCGGTGCCATTGATTCCTATTGCATCAAGGACCTCGGCCAAACAATTCACACCTCTCTACGCGGCTCAGACCAACAGTCAAAGATCCCACAAGCTGGTGCCACCTTGTAGTCTAGCCACCCTGAACCTTCTTCCAAACCACTCTTACTTCAGGCAACATTTCACGTCGAGTTATGTAGGTAGTGCGGATAAGTGTGTGCAACACATCAAAGTCATCTCATCAATCAGTTACACTTCGCAACCTCATCGACTGACTTGCCTTCTTTACCTGGCCCCGACATTCCTTACATCATAACCCAGCTAACCATGAGCAATGTTGCCTAGACACTTGTGGTCAAAACCTGTGCTCTCTTCATATTTTCTACCTTCAAAGATCATGTCTCACAGCCGTATACTAGCAACGGGAGAACTGTAGTACAGTATACTCGTCCTTTAGTATGTATTCAGATATCTAACTGGTGCTAGAGATGACGTAACTTTTCAGGTGCTAAACAGGCCTTCTTGACCTAAATTGGAGTTTCATCAGCGGACAACAGATTTAAGCTGAAAAAACTTCCCAAATAAGTGAAGTGGTCTACCCATTCAACCACTTCACTTCACTACTTAAACAGTGAGTAGAAGTAAACCAGTATTAAAGCCTCATCTTATATTTGGCAGGTTCAAAGGACATAGCAACCATAATGAGATTTCTGCTCACGTCTTTCTGAAGACCCTAACAGGAGACTGCAGTTTATTTACTCCCTCTTGGCTGTAGATAGATCTCTGCAAAGTTAGAGGTGCCTAGGGTTACGGTAGTTAGCACACGTATACACAACTCAAACAAAAACAATGACAGCAAGCATTCGTCAAAACAAGTGGCAACTCTCCACAAGCAAGTACACGACAGCATGAATTTGAACAGGGTACTTTAATCTGCATTACACACTTGGTTGGTGATCCCTCCCTAGTTAGACAGTGACACCACTGCAATAACTCTAAATTTACGGTGCCGAATCCTGTCTTCAGGCCAGGAAATATGGGAAGTATGTGCCATTGGTGCCCTTGCCTGTGTTTGAAAACTAGCTGGAGAATGGAGATCTGACCTGAAGCTTACAGGAACCAATTAGATTGTGAAAAACGTGAAGCAGCTGATAGAATGGAAAGGTCAAGTTTCGGTAAACATAAGCTACACTGAAGCTATGTATGCCCGCTCAGATTGAACCGCTTTACAGAAAGACCGAATTATCCATATTTAGTGCATCACATTAGTTCTGAAAAAATGTCTCAGTAACTGAACACCAAATTTGTTGTAGAAACTAACGCACTAAAGTACCTACATCTTTTTCATAATTGTGTTAACTTTTAATGTAATAAATGAACATCAACCAGAGAAACTAACCCATGCTATGAAATCAGTATTGGTCCATCAGAGCAGTACGTTTAAATAATTAAAGGCAAAATATTTCAACTTATTAACACAAATAACTTACCGGAGTATTCAGAGGCATGTTACAAATAGGTAGCGGCTTCTGAACAGCAGCGGTTGGTGTAGGAATTCGACCAGTCAGTAAGCAGAGATCATACTGATAGACACTCAGATTCCATTTTTCAATTCCCACCGGAGCACTGATCGCACGCACTATGTTATTTACTCTGTAGGCTATAATCATCGGACCCTTCGCATAAGAAGTTTCATCAGAGAACTTTCTGTCAGTGTCAGAACTGCTACATCCATCACGTGTACAATTATATTTGATCTGCGGATGAATAAGTATTAAAACATGATTGAAAACACTTAACATACAGAAACGCCGTGATGAAGTGCAAGCGTAGGCATCACGAAAAGTAGACGCGAAAAAGAAAGAAATCTGGATGGTTGGAAAACCCGATTAGAAAAATTTCTTCTTTTGCCCCGAAAGCATTCAGGAAAAACTACGTGCCAGAATTCAAAACTCGGATAAAAAACTAGCCTGAAGGATGCGCAAGAAACTTCTGAAAGTCACTTGGCAGTAATAATGCTATAAGAGGGATACATAAAATCAGCGTATAACCTAGTACACAAGTATGTCGGTTGAAGTTGCTACGTTTCACAGTAGCATGAAGAGTGCAAATGGACAGAAAAAGACTGATATTAAAATATGCGAAGGTGAATAGGAGGAAAAACATTTTAAAAATCAAGGTTAGAGAAAATATCCCAAGTTTTAGAAGACATCAGAAATTAAATACTTTGGCGTCATTGTGACAGATTTTCAGCTATTTCACCAAATCCTCAACCACTGAATTCTGCCGCCTTGGGTATACCAATCAAAGTCTAAACCTCTCTAAACGACTGAAACTGAGTCAAAGACTCCATGAGTTGGCGACACGTTGCAGTCCGGGCACCTTGAGCCTACTTCCAACCCACTCCTACTTCAGCTAACATCATGCTTGAAGCTAGTGCTGGAGTGAAAAAAGTCATCGTCAGAACGAAACTGGGAAGGACGATCACTGTTTTCGGTCTTTTGGCATGACATTCCGTAAGCACCTTTAAGATGACTTTCCGAATGACTCGGTTTTCTTATTTGGGCGTAAAATTTACCTGCTAGTTGGACTAATATTTAAACCGTTTGCTATATGTAGCAAAACTGACAGCTTGGGATGGAATTCAACCGTGTAGTCTTCCTTGCAGTTGATGCCGGTTATGAATAGGTGTCGGGAATTGTCATGACTATTCCGAATGATCACAGATCCATTCGGCAGAAAAGCACACACCCAGGCATACAGTCGAGGAGTGCACACTCTGCTCGAAAACTTATTATTACGCCCACATCACCGAGTCAAAGAAAGCTACCCATTAGGCCTCTGGATACTCTTAAGATGAATTTCAAAGATTTACCGCAGTAGCCAGGTAAGATCAAGTTGATAACCACGCACAGGTATTGTGTATACGTGTCTCAAAAACACAACATCCATTTACTGCTTGAGACTGCAGAGTTCTAGCAAGCGATGTCTGCTGTCTGGGTTGACAAAGAGCTCGGAAGTTGAAAGCTTCAAAGTGAAGTCGACAGCAGGGTTTGAAGAGACTAGGAATGGTATTTCGACTGATTAGATTGTTGGCAGTGGACGCAGAGTGAGAGGTTGGGGGAGTTGTAAGAGACTGAATATTGGTATCCCGAGAAGGCAAAGTACGAGAGAGGTAGAAAAGAAAGATTATGTTTGATTCGATTTCGCATACTACTAGAAACGTGTGGGGCTGACACTTCCCAGCATCAACGTGACACTCCTGGTTATATGAGGGAAACAACTTACTTCTTTGACACTATCTCCAGCCAACAGTACCACTTCACTCTCAAACCCCCATTATAGCGTAGCAATTTACACTACAACAGTAACTGTTATACGTTATACCAATACCTAACTAACCTTTCTGGTATGGAAGAACCTACAGGGAATAGACGTTCCAGCTACTTTAGTTTGTTGGTTCATTGTGATATACAAGCCGGACCACGAAATCAAGTAAGCAGCTATCGATCAAGAGTGACTTGTCTATTAGGCTAGGGATGGATTTGCATTTTTTTCAGCAAACTAAAATACTTTGATCTGTTTCGAGATCATATCATATTATAGTAGTCTATGAAACCAGTGTTCTGGATATTAGTAGATTTTAGTTCAGAATCTGAAAAGAGTTTTCATTTATGAAATGAAGCAATGAACATGTTAGCACTAAACCAATCAAAGTTACAACTAACAAGAATTAACTGTTCTGAAAGTTGAAATATGGGATTTCGAAGTTCCAGCGTAATCCGCATCGTTAATCTCAGGTATTCTGCAATCATTTTCGTTACCACAATCGTCACCAAGTATGTGTCTCCGCTCCTTTTAGTAAATGCAAGTGTAAGCTCATAAGAGTTGTGTTCAGTAGTCAATGATAGGATATTCGCAAGAATTAAAGCCAATATTAACCTTAGCTGTATACGGAACTGTAGGTTTCTTGGTTAAGGTGTATTGAAACCATGTAAGGTTGTAGCTGGAGACCAAGAAATATATCTCGAAGTCAGTTGCAGCCATGAAGATGTTTTGTTGTTTTGTAAATTTTTGACATTTTGGATACCATACACTCTATTTATCAGTATTTTATTCGCCAGTTATCTTTGCTGTCTATATCATCTACCTAATCTATGGAATTTCCTTCAGTTGATTTGTTTTCCCATTTTGACATCAATTAGGAAAATATGTGCTAAATCGGAATTTAGCCCCATCTCTATTTTATTGAACTGTGCTGTTGCAGATAAGCAGGAAGAAAAGTCGTTGCGATAAGTAAAAATAAAGAACAAAGGTGTAGAGTAGTAAACAATCCCATACTTAAGAAGAGATAAAGGCTGGATGTTCTCCGTCAGTACTTAGGATTCCAAGCCACTTCGTGTAAATTTTCTAACAATCAACCTTGGCTGCTAGTGTAAGCTGTGTAGAAAAGTGGACTACTTGCTCAAGGTTTTTAAAATGTTAGGGATAAATGCACAGATGATCGGACAGATCAATGATAATGCCCCAAATGCATCCACTTCTCACCATCTTCAAAATTACGAATATTTTGATAACCTTAATTTGCTAGCTTCGTTTATATTTATCTTGTAGTATCTGGTGTTATGACTTGCGGATTATTACTATTTTAATCAGACTACGATGAGGAGTTATCAAAGGTTATTTTAGTATAGGCTTGAATATCGTAGTTGTGACTTACTAGTCCATTTGATTTGTAACGTCAATAACTCAGCCAGGGCAGAAAGACCATCGTACATAATGCCGTATCTACAATTATGAGGTCACAATGAACCAGCTAGGGAAGCACTAAGTATTGAAACGACGAACTTTGTGGATTAATCACCCTGGACAGGTTGGTGTCAAGCAAAAAATACTATTAGCAAGCTGTCATTACAGGATTTTGAGCAGCGCTAACTGGGGTTTACTTCGACTAATGTTTGCCCTTCATACTTATCATTTGTAGATTTAATGTTGCTGAGTTAAAAATATCATTTTCACCAGGTCATGAGTGTGTAATCAATAAACACTATTTTGTTTTATCTTGCCAACCATATTCTAGTACTCTCAAATCACGTACTCATATTCCGTCTTGACACTGACACTCGCCAGTAAAATAAAAGTATTAGGAACCTTTTTTAAAAATTTCCCGATCGATAGTTGCTTACTTGATTTCGTGGTCCGGCTTGTATATCACAATGAACCAACAAACTAAAGTAGCTGGAACGTCTATTCCCTGTAGGTTCTTCCATACCAGAAAGGTTAGTTAGGTATTGGTATAACGTATAACAGTTACTGTTGTAGTGTAAATTGCTACGCTATAATGGGGGTTTGAGAGTGAAGTGGTACTGTTGGCTGGAGATAGTGTCAAAGAAGTAAGTTGTTTCCCTCATATAACCAGGAATGTCACGTTGATGCTGTCTTTTCTTATGGGAGGGAGTCGGTTAGAAAAAGTTGGTCCCCGAAATGCTACGCTCCTCCTCACTTTGTGGACTTCCACTGCCAGCAGTATATTTTCATAGTTGGACTCACAAAAATTGGCAAATTTCTAAAACGGTCGTGCGAAAACGGCTTCATAAGGACATTGCTTCGGCGCTGCCGTCTCACACTAACTCTTCTTTTTGAGTACTTCAAGAAAAACCGGCCTTCCATGGTGTAGGCAGTCGCGGAATGTAAGCCACCCTCACAACTGTCATTACTCGCGTTCCCTCAGATCACCATCCTTTTTTCATATACTTAACTTCTGATCTTCCTTTATGTTTCTCTGTTAATATTCCTACATTTTTAAGTTCCCCCAGCCTTGCAGCTCTTTGCAGCGATATGAGTTCACAGAACAGCAGTCCTGGTCTCCTAAGACCACACTCCGTACTATACTTTAGAGCTTAAAATGTCCATACCCTCCGTGAAACCGGCTAACAAGTATTGCTGCCCAAGACTCTGGTATCTCGGGTCATGGATGTGTGCTGTGTTTGCCAGACACATGTATTGGACCTAACCGTGGTTAGTCACTCAACATTATCCGGTCAATAAGGTCAATCTGAGGAATTCACACTCCGAGGTTTTGGAGATACGATGAATAGTTTCGGCGGTCTTGTTAGTAAAGTAAATAGCATTATGTTAATGCAGAAAGTAAACTGCTCAACCGGATCCCAGTTAACAGTTGCATTTGTGCAGTTTGACTGAACGGCACAGTGAAGACTAAAGAGTGGTGAAACGTGCCGCTATCGCTGTAATCTCTGCTTACACACAGTGACTGCAGCTGCAATGAAGTGAAGGACATGTTCTACTGAAAATTATCTAGCCTTTTACTGAAAGCCAAACGTCCAGACGTAGTTGTTGTAGCAGGTGATTTCAATGCGCAATTGGGCAGCCTATATTAGGGACCAAAGACACTTAGGTGGCACCTTAGGAATCCAAGACAAATAAAAAATAACGGTGACCACCTACTACAACTGTGCTCAAACAACTATCTATTTCCGGTCAGCACGAACCTCAGACATAAAGAGAGGCAGTCTGACGTAGTGTCCACCGACTTCAACTCAACGGTGGAAACACACACACCATACTGCTACCATTTATCACTAAAGGTGGTCGGTGGAAGATGGTGGCCCTTCTTGAGCACGTGTTGGTTCGAACAAGTGTCTTCGTTTGAATGGACGTGGAAAAACTATAGTAACAAGACCAATGCGAGTGTAGCTCGATAATGAGAGCACTAAGGCTGCTTTCAGTGAAAAACTTGCCAGACAGTTATCGGAAAGGATAAGCATCAGTCATCCAGAAGGAGCCTAGGACTATCTCCATCTCTCCTCACTCCACTTACCAAGGTTTTGGCAGCCACGTAGTATCATTAGCTGTCATAAATAAACACGAATAAACACACAAGGTTGCTGAGTGGATTTCGACTTCGAATCGACTGCAGCCTGCTGTAAAAACAGCGCTCAAAACCGTACTCGACTCTCAGAAAGTGATAACAAAGAGCCCGTGGATTTCAGCAACTTCAGAGCTAATGAATGCAAGCGAACACATCCCTGCAGGCTCCGAGTACAATGAGGAAAGAATGCAACTCAAATGTAGACATAAAATGTCTACGACATGGCAGAAAAGTGCTGGACAGCGAAGGATAGAAAAGGAAACGGAGACAGGTAACAACAGACAGCTTCTCCCGAACTAATGGATGCACGTGAACGCACCCCTGCAGGCTCTGAGTACAATGAAGAGCCAGCGCAATTTAAAAATAGATTGAGAAAGTCTACACAACGACCGCGAACAGTGGTGGGCAGAGAAGGCTAAAGAGATGGAAAAGGCAGTGGCGATTGGTAACAGTAAAGTTATTTAGACTTATTAAGGAAACTGGGGGGAAAAGGTAAACAACAGTTAGTGAGGCTATCGCGGAGGACAGATCTGCGATTTACTTGTAGGGGAGACGACTGGAACGATGGGCATAATACTTAAAGGAACAGTTTAACTGACCTCCAGCCACCATTGCGTTGCCCGCTATCCAGACGGATTCTGAATGGAACATTGAGATAGGCCCCCCGACACTAGCAGAAGTCGAGAAGGCAGTAGGTAACCTGAAACGATGAAGGACGGCAGGACCAGACGGACTAACTTCAGAGATATACAAGGATGGTGGTAAGTTGCTCTTAGTTAGGTTAACGGGAGTGTTAACCAGTATATGGGAATCAAATATGATCCCCTCTGACTGGTCTAAATCCCTGATTATTCCAGTCTTCAAAAAAGGCGAGAAGTCCTCTTGTGAAAACCACAGAGGAAACAGCCTGATCAACATAGTGTCCAAGATCCTAGGTCTAAGTGGAGCTCGGGAATCGCAAGCCCGGACTCGGGTGTATCGACCAAATATTCACACTGCTCCAGGTTTCACAACACAGACACGTTTATCGACGCCCGACAATAGCTGTATTTCTCGACCTGAAGGTGGCATTTGACTCCGTTGATCGAGAAGTCTTATGGTAATGTCTCTCACTGAAAGGCGTGCCGAGTAAGTACATCATCTTATTAAAGGCTCTCTACTCGAACACTTGTGGGCGTGCTACAGCCTATGGTGAGATGTCCAGGGAGCTATGCTCATCAAGTGGTGTCCGTCAAGGGTGTCCACTCTCTCCATTCTTATGCAACTTTATCACAGATATTCTTATGGAGGTCTCCCTCTTGTCATCTGATTACGCAGAGGTTGACCTAATCACAGGAGAATTTTTTTATACGTAGAATATGCAGATGACACTCCCATTAGGTGAAGACACTGACAACATGTAGAGTCTTCTGAACACTTTGAGTGGCAACTTGAGAATGTTTGGGATGTATTTCTCACCACCCAAATGCAAATTGTTGCTCCGCGATTGGTCTTAAACGGTGCCCAACTGCGGCTAACAATAGAGAGTGTAGTGACTGAGTGTGTCGACCACTTCACCCACCTGGGAAGTAGAATCAACCGTGGTGGCTCAGTGGCCGATGAAATCTCTGCATGGATACAAAAGGCTCGACTGGCTTTTGCCAACTTACGCCCTGTGGCGCCGCCGTGAAATCCGATTGTCTATCAAGGGTCGCATGTATTGCACAGCAGTCTACTTTGTCCTGTTGTGTGACTGTGAAACATGGCCATTGAAGATGGAAGATATGAGAAGGCTTCAAGTGTTTGATCACCGTTGCCTTCGTACCATAAGCCGTATTCTGTGGTGTCACCACGTGAGTAACGCAGAAGTCAGGAGTAAAGTTTTAGGGAGAAGAGGTAAACCAGTTGACGAGGTTGTGAACCTTCATCGACTGAGATGGTTGAGACATGTATTACGTAAGCCTAGTCGCTGTCTGCCTCGTCACACAATGTTGGCTGAAGTAGATTCAGGCTGGAAAAAGGCCCGAGGTGGCCAGACTAAAACATGGCATCAATGTATGCAGTCTTTGACTGTTGGTTTAAGTCATGTGGGGCTATGTAGACTAGCCGGTTAGGGTCCACGGGACACGAGGAACTAGTGGTTGGAGACTGTAGGCGATATGGCTGAGAACCGATGTCAGTGGCGCAGATGTTTACACGCATTATTCTCATCTTAACAACGCTATACTGAATCCCACCATTTTCTCATTCTACCTTTCTCTTTTCGTACTTTATATTTCTTTTGTCTGAATTTTTTTCTGATCTTCACCTTCCACTTAACTGCCTTTCTACTCGATGTACTGATATGAGCTGTGGCAACTCGGACCGTTACGCAGTAATGCCTGATCCTATGTTGATATTGATTGACTGATTGATTGAGAGCGAAGACGTCAATGGTCAGTGCAACTATAGTGAAGAAGGTGAGGTCCGCAATTCACTTGTAAGGGAGATAACTGAAACAATGGATGCAGCACTTCAAGGAACAATTCAGTTGGTCTCCGGCCACTATTCCACTGCACATTATCCAGTAGGGTGCTTAATGAAACGAAGGTTAGCGGGGCTAGATTAGGTAGTCCAAAAGATATCTAAGGACGATGGTAGAAGATTATTCGTCAAGGTAACTGAAGTGTTAGTGTATGATTTCTTCAGACAGACCTCAAACTTTCAGTTTCCCAATCCTCAAGTAAAGAAAGAAATCCTTTTGTGATAACTACAGCGGTGAGAATCAGTCTGAAGAGAAGTATCTAAGATTCTAGATTCTATAAACATCTGAGTAGAGCTCGAAGACATTAAATCCGAAGGAACTAGGCAAGGTTTCGGGCCTGGTCATCGGTACATCGACTTGATATTCACTGTCTACCATATTCTGAAATACAAGCACACTTGTCGATACCCAACCCTAACTGTATTTCTCAACTTGATGGCGGCACTCGACTCTGTCAACCGACAGGTCTTATGGTAGCCTCTTACTGAAACGGGTACCGTGTATGTGAGCCAATTTGTTGAAGGCTCTTTACTTGAACTTGTGAGCGTTCAAGTTGCCAGATTTCACAATAATACACAAATAACAGGTGGATAGAAACAGAGTAATGTCAAAGTTCACAAAGTTGTGTGACAGAATAAACAATTTGAAGATAACGGTTAATGCGAATATTCAAGCTTTGGAAGACTTCAAGAAACTTGAGTGCTGATTGAGTTGTGAGGGCGGTTGACACTTCCCGGCTTCAAGGAGTGAATACCTGTACGCTACTGCGAACGAATTTCAGCCATGTCACCAAGAGTTCTCGACCATCTTGGGGACCCCAGCCAGGTACTCTACATCTCCCAACAACTCATACTACGTTGATGACTTCGTGCTTTCACACTTTCTAGTAACACTTTCACGCGCCGATAAAAAATCAGTCAAGCAGAAGTGTAGTGTTCTTTACCGATTTCAGATTAGAACGCATTGGCTTGATGGTAAAGGAACCAGATGTCTCATGTGTACTCCAACACATAAGGAACGAAACAAACCACTTCACAAGAGCTGCTCACCTCAAAAAGTGTAGATCTTAGATGTCATATGAAGAAACTGACTCTGCTGTGTGCACAATAAACTGGATACGCATAAAATATGGCACATTATAAAAAACCGTAAAAGTTGACCAACAAGTTCCAAATGCAATATAATAATTATAATAATAATAACAATAACAATAAGGCAATATAATAACGTAGCGGTTTGTGCGACAGGCTGGTTCATTTAGGTCTCGAAGCTAAACATAATAGGTACTAGATTCCTCAGCAAATAACAGAGAGTAAATGGAAGAAAATATTAAATAAACTCCAAATGTATACTAGCAGGTTTTTTACCGAGGGTTACAATTAAAGTTCGGTAAGCTATTACCAGCAGCATACTGTTTTATGATCAAAGGAAGAGGTCACAGGATAGGGCATCATAAATTAGGAACCTACCTTTCCGTCATGAGGATTAAAAGCAAATGTTGAATGGTCTCGTCCTCCAGTCAAAATAGAATCTTCTGTCAGCATAAAGTTCGAAGAAAATAGGGAATCGATATTCAAAGGTAGTGCTTTAAGTGAAGCTTCTTGAGAAAGCTCCAGGTCACCTGTTATCCTTCTTTCCATTAAAAATAGCTGTCCTTCAAGAGATGGAACAATACTGTATGATTTTGTCTTAGTCATAAGCTGCAATCAATACAAAACATTGGGATTATCCAAACTTCATTATACCTGCAGGTCACTCAAGCTTTGAGAAACAAGAGGAGGGCCATCTATCCTCCATACCTCTCTGCCACTTTCAATATCCACACCGACAAATGATCCGTCAACCGTATTCGCTATCAATACTCTAGGATAAAATAACTACTTCTCTGCTAAAATACACACCCATGAGCACCATGAGAAAAATTTTCCGCTCCATGTGAGTGCAACAATGAAGTGCAGATAATAAGAGTGCAAATATGAAGCGAATTTAACAGCTTAAGGAACATAACTCTAACATTACATCATTGGCAATCCAACAAATTTGAACAGACAACAAGGTCAGTGGTGCCGTTGAAATTTATTTCATTTAAGCAAACGAAACACTGGTATGCATTAACTAAACTTGAACTTAGTCTTAAGAAAAAGCGAATGCCTTTTCTTGGATTCCACATATATATTGCTGAGAAAATTCTCTGCTGAAGAAGAGTTATAACATTATCAATGGTTTTGAGATACGTGATAGGATAAAAAATATTATTTATTGATTACAGGTCACTTCTTATGTTGATGCTACCTGCCACCTGTAGAAAGCAGAGAGCTTTCATGCAGTCCAGCTTCTGCACCGCGACACTATGTAGGAGCCTAACATCCTTCGGAAATCATAACGTCAATAGGCTGTTGTACACCTTCTTGACACCGGAAATTATCACGTTTTAAGCGAATCAATACTTAAGATTCCTTGATATTAGCGAAATGATCTGCTATATCGTTTGGTGTCACCATTGTATTTGTAAGGTTGTATTCAATGTGCATGCACCGCTCCTGAGGAGCCGCCGTTTGGTTTCCTTTGTACCAGTTAGCAGCTACAACCTCAGTGACCGTATTCTAGCTACTTACAGCAGCATTAAATGTGATATCCCACCTAAAATAATCGTGATCGCATACTTGTGCGTATACTGCTCTGCTGAGGGCTTTGAAATGTCTAACATATCTTCTGTTATTAGAACGTATGCGCAAGTAAGACAGTGGTAAAGTTGGTTATAGCGAATGTCGAATAATAGAATAAACAGATCCTTACGGAGTCACTACGACTCCCTGAGGGAAGATTCCACACGTTACATATCCTAGCTTCAAAAGGGTCAACGAATATTTCATTTCGTACCTTCTCATAGTGAACACTTAACCGTGACTCATTAGGTGAAGTTTCCAGTGCAGAAGGTTGGATGAAACATGGCACACCATGATTAGGCAGCCATTTTCTGTCTATGCCGTGCACATCTCAGTCTTGGGATGTCCATTCGACCAAGATAGTGTTTAGCAAGCGGTTCATTCAAATTTCCACTGGTTGCCCTTGTATTCATTCTTCGACTTCCAAGTCCTTTTCACAGCGAACAGACATAACTAGCAAACTGTTTTCCAGATGTAGGTGCAGAAATAGCTGAAGGATGTGCTAATGGTCGTCAATTTTAACCCTCAAAAATTTGATAAATGAAGGTCATGTTTCCGTATGTCTTGTTTACTTCGAGGGGCCAGTGACAGAAGGCTCGTGCTATTTGACTTGGAATCACCCTCAGTTTCTTCACCGCCTTGAATTTATCTGTATTTCTTGCCGCTATTACTTAAGAATTACAATATGACCTGGATGTTTCCACTATCGTTATCCCACACTTTTCTCATACAAAGGAAGGCAGGTTTTGGTCGTTTGGACTCAGATATTTTAAGTTTTACTGCAACACAGAGACGCCCGTTTGACTTTAAATCTTAGGATCATACGTGTACTGGTGATCTAAAATCTAGACGAGCTGATTGACTGCTTCAAAGGAGAGATTAGGATTGGGGGGTCAGGAGTGAAAATTTAGAGAGCCCCAGTTAGCTTTCGGAACTGAATGAGGAAGAGTGAGTCAACTCTAACTTAATGGGGCGCATTACTAATGAGAGACTGAGGCCACCTAATTAGTCTTGTTGTATGCTCATAGACTCGGAAGGTACTGAACAGATGCCACATATCTCCGGGAAAGGTGGCCCAGTAGGGGAAGAGATCTTTCACTTTCCATACCAAAAGGGTAACTTTTTTGGTTTTTATCTAATTCACTTACGCCAAACACGTTCAAGCTGATCAAATAAATGCTTCGTTGTTCCATGTTTGAACCAGAGAAGCCTCCAATCTTTCTCCGCCATATAAGAAGCCCCTAAGAAACTTCTACAGTCCACATAGCAAAATCGAACTCCCATCCTAAAACAATGAATGCCATCTCACGAGCAGCAGTCACCAAGATAACAATTTCGACGGCTCACTAAAGTACTACTGAAGTAAATGAGAACAGCTCTAAGAAATTTAGTTCACTTCAACAAGTTGCCAACTGAATGAAAATACTGAAAACATCATACGAACATTCCGCACCTAGGTTTGTTGTCCGCGAAAATTGAACTTACACAGCTGAAGATACATTAATAAACTTTTGAAAATATTTTCAGGGGAAAATTCTGTGGCAGAAACAGTGCGAACACGAAGCAAAATACATCGAATAACTCTTGATGTGTTGAGAGGTGTAAATCACAGAAATCAGGCACAAGAATGGTTTTACTTGCTTTTGGAACAGTGGTGGCGAAAAAGTGGTTGCAGAAAAGTATGAAATTATTCTAGTCACAAAGTGACTATTTGTCCAAGCAAGTGTGTTCACCGAAATGAGAGAAAAAATCAAACAAGCTTCTAACTTTGTGCACTTTATTCACAGTGATTTTCAGAAGACATCATGAAAATTCGACCTAAATTGTCGGCTTCTATGCGCATTGCAAATCTAATGGAGCGGAGCTGGCCATTTGATAAATGCGAAACGCTGGTAAGAAAGCTACCATAATGATACAGCCATACCATCTGAGAACCGAAAATACGTTCTCCTGTCACCCATATTTTATTTTCGACCAGTGTGCGAATTAATGAACTATATGTAAGTAACCCTCATCCTTGTATGGCATGCCTCCGGGTGTACATACTATGGCTACACCGCTCGAAATGACCCATGTAATGCTATGATGGAGACTATGAAGCACAGTGATCAGCGAGGTGTAGATAGTTTCCTCAAACGTGTGATTAGGTAGCATTTCTGCAATGTCAAACGTTTCTCTCGTCGAACATGAACAAGCAATACCAATGCTTTTCGCTTTAATGCCGTCGGACCAGTTGTCAGCAAGACCAGTTTACCGGCATTAACAAACCCCTCCCCTTAAATTTTTATCAACTTCACTAACTCTGCTACGACACCTGCTCTGAGGGCGAAATCACAAAACTGTTCAAATTCCGGCCTCTCGTCTGAACATATAATGCTTCAAGCGATAAGCGGCACTGCTAGGACTGAAAATAACGCATCGGTGGCTGGGCACACAGTGGCCGTTGCACGCATTTAAAAACCCGGCATTTGTCATCAGCTTCCTAATAACCTGTATAACAACGCCCCAAGAGGCGAACAGTGCATTCACTTTGAGCTATGTAAAGCCGCAGACGTTTTGAAACACTTGACACTATTCATCTTCCAGCATTTCACCTGCCTGATGGTCGTAGACTCTTTCTCTCAGATCACAACTTCAGGTCAATGGGGCAACAGCCTCTAAATTTCAGATAGATTCAGCCTTAAAGGTTTGAATTTTGTTCTCTTCAAGAGCCAGCAAATTTAGTATGCACCAACTTCTGAGTCTCTAATGCATAACTGCATTTATGCACAATCGCCCCGGATGCTTGCACTGCACTCATCAACTGTCTTTCGTTTATGAAACCATTGCGAAATGTATCCTCCACAAGCTTACTAACCAACTTCTACTATGCACATATAATTACCAATAATTCACCTAGGTAAGAGAAAGGTGGACACAGAAAAGAGTGAAGAAAACAGCCTATCCTTGAAATTCCGCTTGCTGAACATCCTAGCTGAATTGTTTGGCGAAAATTATTATTTTTGGGTGACTGAATGTGTTGCGAGGCCCTAGTTTGGCATAAAAGTTGCTATTGATCCTGACATTGAGATAGAGGGAAAAGCCTAGTCTAGGCAGCGATCAATCAAAATATGCTTTATGTTTTCACGTCTACAGTTAGACAGACGGCCTGGATCAGCCAATCAAAATTATAATTTTAAACGCTGAACTGTTTATGTTAGCTGTATTTCCTTTGTTTTGGCCGCTTCTGTCTTTTAGACTTTAATACGCGTTTCTACGTGCCCATCGTGTCTCCTCCACTAATTAGTCGGGTCGGGAATCAATTAGGAATTTATTGAATGTTGGCGGCTGACAGTCGATATCTATGTACAATTATCGGCCATGTGATATATTAGTGCTCAAAATCATAACAGAATAGCCTGACACTGTCGCTTCAGCTGCAACTGGGAGAGCACTTGTGATACTCTTCTTCAGTAAGGTTGTTCTGTTACCGCAATCGTTTTACTGAATAGGCAGTAATTAACAGAAAGCAAAACTGAGTGAACAGATGAATTAAGACCACTTAATCAACGAGTAAAAAAGCCCAATTTCATGGGACCTGGGGAAAACAAGCTAATGTTATGATAATAATAATGATAATAACTCCTGAATATACGAGAACACACCATTTCTGCAGGTATGAATAAGTTTCTGTGTACATTCATGCCTTCAAAACTGCACCTATTCAAATAAGCGAGCTTTTCCATAAGCAACCAGATGATATGATCGTAATAAGTGAGCATTTTCTGATCGTCCACCCTCCTCACATTCCTGGAAAATGATCCTGTTTTTTCAAACTGTTTATGGTATATGAACCTCCACTAGTCAGCCGTGCTATTCATCTGCACCATGTTATCAGCAAGTTATTGTTGAAAGACACAGTAAGTGTGAGACGCACTTACCTGGCACTGGAATGCAACTTAGGCCAAAACAAACAGACCAAATTGAATCGACCAAATATCAACCAAATAACTTTCTAGATAGCCTCTGGATGCCTAAAGTGTTTTAAGTTTTGTTTTAACGAGCAAGTATCCGAGCAGGCTTCAGCGCAATTTTGAGCTCCTTTTGTGCTGGTTAACACGCACACCCTCAGAACCCCCCAGCTCGGCCATGTTAGCCACATAAGTTGAATAAACTTTACCCTTGGTAATCATTATCACATTTATTCTACTTAAACATGCGGCTCCTTCGAAAATACCCCATAATGCATTCCTTTTGATTTGTGTTTCGTCATCGGTGCTAGCACATTAGATAAGCGGGTTCTAGAGCGCATCAAGTTGGGCAGGGTTGGTTGGAGGTTACGTAGTTGTAACACAACCAGTCTTTCAACAGGTAAAGGCCATGTTCGGTGGCGAATTTCGTCTTCCATCTGGATGAA